AGTGCTAAAGGAAACAAGGTTATTTCTACAGCTATGTCTAAGAGAGTTATCAAGGCAAAATAACTTTGTATTAAACTTCTTCAAACGCTGTATGTAATGCATTTTATTGAACAGCCATTTAATAAAACCGAAGTATAATAAAAACTAAGTACTTTATTATACTTCGGTTATTTTATTATATTTGTTACTAAACTTAGTTACTTTAGTTTGCTATCCAAATTGATTATTTCTCTTTTTTGTACTGTAACGCAACAAAATTTTAACATTTTTATTATATTTTGAGTAGGATAGACAACACATAATATGAAATGAAATTATATTATTTCCTTAGTTTTAGTTTTATAAAAATATGCTTATGTGCTTGTATTACACATTGTATATTTTAGTAAATATAAATTGATGTAAATAACTCTCAAAATAATGAATATATCTGTGAATATAATAGGAACTCTGCATCATTGCGCTGCGAGACAAATCTGAATGATAAAATGAAATACAAAAAACTGATTCATTAAAATACACAATAGGTATTATCTTTTTAGCATGAATATGGAATTTAGTATAAAACTAATCCTTCTATTCAATATTTATTTAAGAATGCATAGGTAACGGTTATGTTAACAAACCGTTCCGTTACCCCAGATTGCTTTATAGGGCCGACATTTGCCATAGTTTCCACTCAAGTATTCTATTCATTAATATAGGTACTTCAAGTTGTGTTATTACTTCAGCATACAACTATTCAATAACATGGGTAACGGTTATAACTGCATTTACTGTGTTGTACCAACACACTGGTTCACTTGATTATTTTTGATATTAAAGCTAAGTACTTTAGTATATTTAAACTAGTTTACTATATTTACTACTAATGCTAGGTACTTTGGATAGATAAATATTTCTCTGTAATCGTTTAAGTGTTTGGTTCATTAGCATAGGTACTTTAAGTCGGATCATTACTTCAGTATATGCATTTGTTTACTGCGTTCTACCGATACTTCAAAATTATTACAAATTATAGTTTTAATTTAAAATTATTTCAATTGTTTGATAAAAATGTAATTAAAAAGGGTAAAATTATTAATTTCGACATTGACGTAAGTCTGTCAAAGTAAATCTTGTTGATATCAATATAGGGAAAGATCGAATGACCATACAGCCAACTCATACTCAAAGTTTTACATTAACTTATTTGCTTACAAAATTTTTCAATAAAATTAATTTGTTTACTTTTAAGACCTACTGTTAATTTTTCTATTTGTTTGTAATATCGATTTGTGCTACCGTTTGTAATATTATTAGCCTATACTAATTTTTGCAGTAACTGTTGTGTACGCATGAAGTGTAACTATGTACTATTGATAGTTTAGTTGCGTTTTTGATCGATCGATCTTCTGGTAACGCTGGTAGGTGAAGAACTAGTTCGTTCTTGCTTATTTATATTATTTATCTACGAGTATATATTTATATATTATTTTTATCATTTTATATCGCTGTATATATACGCATTACCATATCATACATTGTTCATAAAAAGAAAGGCTTATTATGAGTTTTGAGTCGTTCAATTATATTGATTTAAGTAATGATTCCTTTGTGACACCTTACTCAGAAAGCGGCAGTAGTGACGATACTTTTCACAGTACAGATCTCACTCCTCTAAACGAAGTCATATCTTCTCAATTCTCAGATGTTCTGAAAAATTTCAATGTTAATTATATTAATGCCCCAAGTATTCCGGCACATTTTCCAGACATGCTTGCATCATTTAACACTAGCTTCCTCAGCGCTATTCTTGTATCCGAAACGTGGCTCAAACCATGTTTACCTTCTACCTGCTATTCACTACCAGGATTCAATCTTATTCGAAATGACCGAGTAGGCCAGAGTGGTGGTGGGGTAGCAATTTACCTTAGATATGATATTCCTTTTAAGATTATTAAATTGTCTACTCATGCACCCTTGCCTAATGAAGCTGAACATCTCTTGTTGGAAATTATATTATCTAACACCAAAATCTTACTAGGCGTCTTTTATAGCCCATCCCTCCATGTAAATTATTTCCCTTCATTTGAGAAAACACTTGAAGATCTGACTCCTCTATACAATCATATTATTTTTATGGGCGATTTTAACACTTGCATGTTAAAGAATAATCACCACACTAAAAAGCTGCGCTCTATTACTGACTCGTGTAATTTACATATTCTGCCACTTAATGCTACACACACCTTGCCTAACTGTATTTCATCCCTGTTAGATCTTATCATAGTTTCATCTCCTGATCACGTGTCAAAGCATGGTCAATGTGCAGCTGTGGCATTCTCTCATCATGACCTCATCTTTCTTTTATATAAAATACGTACTCCCAAATTTCGAGGCAAGGTACTGATGCTACGGAATTTTAGTGGGATGAATATAGAACGTTTACAAGACTACTCCCGGAATGCTAACTGGTCTGCTGTATACTCTGCAGATTCTATAGACTTAAAAGTGGAAACATTTAATTACATTTTGATTGACCTTTATGACACCCATGCACCAATCAGACCAGTTAAAGTTAAACACACCCCTGCGCCTTGGCTAACAGACGATATTAAATCACTGTTAAATAAGAAAAATAAAGCTAGGCTTATTTATAACAGTGATAAATCGGACCACAATAGAGACAAGTATGGGAGCATGCGGAATCGCTGCAATACAATTTGTAGAGACGCACAACAACGCCATGTTCAAAGATCAGTCGAGAACGGAGACCCTGCAAAAATTTGGAAGTTTCTCAGATATATAGGAGTTGGAAAATCTAAAGAATCTACTATTTCGAATGAAGACGTTGACATTGAATCATTAAATCAACATTTCTCATCTACCTCTTCGTTTTCAAACGATAATATAAAATCATATACTTTAAACAATCTGTCCAAAGCATCAACTCCTAATTTCTCGCCGTTCACCTTCAATCAATTTTCCGACTGTGATGTTAAAAAGAACGTTTTGTCCATATTGTCAAGTGCCATCGGATGTGATGAAATTAGCCGTAAAATGATCGTCCCCCTGATTGACATTATTCTACCTACCTTAACTCATATTTTCAATTATTCCATATCCTCTGAATCCTTTCCTCGAATTTGGAAGGAAGCAAATATCATTCCTCTTCCTAAAAAAGAAGAATCCCTGTTCTCCCTCAGATTATCGACCTATATCTATATCCTTCCATTCCTTTCAAAGGTCCTTGAACGTTTAGTCTTTGCACAACTTAACCTCTTCCTAAATAAAAACTCCCTTCTTGACTCCTTTCAATCGGGGTTCAGACTTGATCATAGTACGGTTACAGCGTTACTTAAAATCACAAATGATATTCGCTGGGGTATGGACCAAAAGCAGCTCACAATACTTACGCTACTGGATTTCAGTAACGCTTTTAACATCGTCGATTTTGATGTATTGCTGAGTCTGCTACGTCTATTAACATATCTCCAGCAGTAATTGAACGGTTTCAAAGCTATTTGCGTGGCCGCCGGCAGCGGGTTATGGTAGGGGGTGCCACATCTTCGTGGTGTGAACTAACTGCTGGTGTACCACAAGGTGGCGTGTTGTCTCCTCTCCTTTTTTCTGTGTTTATCAATTCTGTTACTTCACGAATTTCTTCTCTCTACCACTACCTGTATGCAGATGATCTTCAAGTTTACTCCCATACATCACTCCAGAACCTTCCCAATGCCATCAATGACACTAATATGAATCTTGCTGCAATACATGATTGGAGCAGGTCATTCGGGCTCAATTTAAATCCCAATAAGACCCAAGCCATTATTGTTGGAAATAGTACTGTAATTTCCAGAATTTGTTGAGATAACCTACCACCTATTGTTATTGATGGTGTTGTGATACCTTTTAGCAAATCTGTAAAAGACCTAGGATTACACATTGATCAAAATCTTTCTTGGTCCCTACATATTAAATAGTCCAGTAGAAAGATGTTCGCGGCATCATCTTCCTTACGACGTTTGCGTAACTCATTACCGATTCCTACTAGAATTTTACTGGCACAGTCCTTGTTACTCCCTATCCTTGATTATGCTGATGTATGCTATTCTAATCTTACTGAGGATCAATTAAATAAACTTGAGCGTCTTCAGAATTTCGCTATTAGGTTCATATTTGGCCTCCGCAAATATGATCATGTTTCTGAGTTTCGCACTAAGCTCAAGTGGCTTCCTATCAGACTTCGTCGGAATACTCACATTCTATCTCAACTGTACTGTGTACTATTTGATCCTAAAACACCGAAGTATTTTAAGGAAAAATTTGAGTTTGCGGGTGCAGATAAAGATCATTCCAGATTATCCGATAAACTTATTTTGCGAATGCCTGCTCACAATTCAAAATTTTTTTAATTCTTCCTTTTGTGTCAAAGCAATTAAATTATGGAACTCGCTTCCTTTAACAATTAAGAAAGCCCAAAGCATTGAGTCTTTCAAAAAACTGGTTAAAAATTATTATTTAAATATGTGTTCTACTTAATATATTTCATTCATATCTGCTATACTTGATAAGGTTTGTGTATATATGGTATGTATATAATATGTAGCTATAATGTGTTACAAAAATATTTATAAATATATATATGTATAAATATGTATGTGTATATATATGTATATATGTGTATGATTATGTATATATATATATATATATATGTTATATGTTATGCATGATTTTTTATCTACTATTTATGCACACTTCTATATTTTTGTATGTAAAAGATCTCCTTCACCAAGGTTTGCCTGGAAGAGATCGCTGTTTAGCGATAAGGCCACCTAATTGTACATAAATTTATCAATTGTTTGTTGTTCTTTGTATTATTTTGTGTGCAATAAAGAGTATTGTATTGTATTGTGTAAGTTAAGCTTTAGGAACATTCTTGCATAAACTTGATGCAACATGCAATTGGCTGTCGTAAGAAAACACACTGCAATGAAATATTTCTGACAGTGACTCACGCTTCTCGACGTCGTGCCCCAGCGTGCGGGTAGCTGCCACGAAGGCGCGCTGCAAGATACCCAGCAGCTCAGCCACGTGAGGTGCGTACGGTTCGTACGTATGACTCTCCGCCTTGGCAGCCGTTCGAGTCTCCCACCAGATGACGCCCAGCTCCCTTAGTAAATTTCCCAACTGGAAATTTACGATTGCATTGTTTTTGTTCTCTTTGACTCGCATCTTTATTGCATTTGTCGTTATTACTATTTGTTGTACACGTGGCACGATGGCACATGGTGGCGGCCTAAATAGAATCTGTCCATCTCATAAATTCTTCCACTGTATGTCGTAAGAGCAGACTACAGAAAACTCCAGAAAGATATCATGATTTTCGATAGATGGCGGTGTAACCAAAATTCCCTTATAGACACAACTTCATCTACCAACTTATACAATAAATATTCTTTAGGTCTAAGTTTTAGCTAGTAGTCTAAGGTATTTTGACAGTAAAATTATATAGTCAAATTCTGCTAACATATATAACAAGAAATCATGGCTAAAAACTTGAGACAAGGAAAAATATTCGGAAATAAAAATATATCGATATTTGGTATTTACACGAGAAACAAATACACTAAATATAGCAGCCTAGTCAAATTGACTTTCTACAATTTTTATGTTTACGCAAATACATAAGTATAAAAATGAATGGATATGTAATATTTCAACGTTAACTCACGAGCCCGTCACGTAACTTAACGCCGCCTTTTAAAAAAAAAAAGAAAACGTTATCGCACGTGAGGATTTTTCTTCTATGTCGGAGGCAGTTTTCATACATACATTCTTGTGCAGTTCATGTCTGAAAATTGTCTCCACGACACGACACAAAAATCGAAACCAGGAACAATTATTTGTAGGTTAAACAAGTCCTTAAACCGTGTGGGTTCGTACCCGCGACACTCAAGCGCCACAACCCAATGCTGGCCTACTGCACCACGGAGCCGTCAAATTTCTTTTCTCTAAACATTCTAAACTTGCTTCCCTTTATTTTAAAAGTTATCTATTAGCGTTAACGATTGTAGAAAGTGAGCTAGGCTGGGTTACGTGCTAGTACGTGCACAGTTTATGAGATACGCACCTGGTTGGAGTTGAGTGCGTGCGCGTGCTTGCGCGCTGCGTTGTTGAGGTGCGTGCACACTGCGGACGGCAGCGAGCCGCACGCACAAGCCCTTGAGCACCGCACCAGCAAACCACATATTTCCTGCTGCCCGCACACCGCCTCGAGGTGAACACCTACCAACTATCGATCATACGGACCGTGTAAACAAATAACCTAACCCTTATCTATCTTAACTTTATATTAGGGTATGTTTACTGACCGTGCTAAGTCATAGACCTGTGTTACAGCTGTTAAGCCCTCCACATTTAATGTATACAAAAACAAAATAATAAAAGCATAAAAACATTTTTTATTGACTGATGGTACAGCTGATGAAAATTAAATGTTTTAAATAATTTTCGTGTATCCGTTATGACCCATCAAAGACTGATGGAAACTGAACTGATGTAACCTCCTTCTAACACCACGCGTTATCCAGCCTGTAGTGCAGAAGGCACACAGTAATGTCCTCCAGACAGAATTTCGGTCATGGCGACTAACCATCGACGCAAGACAGAAACATAATGCACGAGCGTGCGTGCAAACACAAGTGCACTCTATTCTCTCACTCTCATAATCCGATTTGACGGAAATCTAGTTGTAATAAATCTAAATGTAGAGCCACGCTGCAGCTATATTATGGTTGTAGCACGAATAGCTCGGCTAGACAAGGTGGGGGGGGGGAAGGCACGCTATCACAGAACACTAGCGTAATACAGCAGCGCAATGCTGCTGTGTTTCGTGTGGTAAGTATAGAGAACCGGTGACCCTTTTTATTTTTGTCCTCAGAGGTGACAATGCGTCTGCATTTGGATTTTTAACCGAACATAGATGTTGATATCTAGGGACCACAGCATCCACTTATCATCAGATGGATTGTGTGCTCGTTTGTGATCCTTATGTCTTGTTACTGTAAACATTTGCTTCTGTAGTTACGATTACAAATCGTAATTTATTGTTTACCTTTAAGTATATCGTAAGTTAAACAATAACGTCGCGAAGGCTACATCACAAGCTGTAACACCTACTGTAACAATTTTCAGCTGAACATAAGTCTATCTAATTATGGTAAGAATTCGCCATAATCCCCCCGCTTGGTAAAGTATATTTTAAACGATAAAAAACAAACTTAACTATTATTGTCGCTTACGATAATTCACTAGATTTAATTGAAAAAAGTAAAAATTATATAAAACTATTAAATAAAAATCAATGTGTAGTGTTCGCGTAAATATAAAACATAGTGTGCATTACTGACTCTTAGTTTTTTAGTTACCATTGTCTGTTAAATCTCACACGCCAAAAACACAAAGCAAAGTATAGCTATGAAGTAAAAACTATTTATTTAACTCATTATAAAATTATTTAGGTTTATAATATTGGCTTTTGGCAATGTCAACCAGATTACAATGAAATCGTACCTCTAATAAAATATGGTATTCGGGGTCGGGATTTGGTCCCCATCGCTGAGCTGCTTCTATTAGTATATCCAGCATTTCCTCTCTCTGTGTAGAATTAACTTTTTCTGTCCACGAACCTATTTCAAACTGGGAAAGAATAGAAATATAAAAATGTATTTGTATATATATATATATATATATATATATATATATATATATATATATATATATATATATATATATATATATATATATATAATCATCCTTTCACGGTAAATGTTGATCCAGTGAGAAGTTAGAACAATTGTTGATCCACCTATTTGACGTGTTTGCTCAGCTCCTCGTCGCACAAACTGATATACTTTGATCCATACTTGATGTGCTTGTGACGTCGGTGGATCTGCACTAACAGGATTTCAATATACTCGTCAGCGATTTGACCAACATTTGTTGATCTATCAACGGTCGAAAAAATCATACTGAATATGATTTTTTAGATCCAGAGTATATTTGATTTATATGCGACATTTACTTAGACTAAGTGGATCCGGAGCCATAATTGACGAATAGGTACTCGAACACGAAGCGGCAAAGTCGCGTTCTGTGTGTTACAGAGAACCTACTAGAGAGCTACTTCGTTATAGTAATAAGGTAAGAAAATACGTTATCTGCTGATTTTGTGGATCAAAATTTGGCAGGTTTTATTGTGGAAAGACGTTTGTTCGAGTTTTTGTTATCGTGTGAATATATATATATAAGTGAATTTGTGTTATTTTATTCATTTGTCATAGATCACTTAGAAGATGATGGATAGTACTTTATTACAAATTAATTTGTCACTCGAGTGTGTGTGTGTGTGTGTGTGTGTGTGTGTGTGTGTGTGTGTGTGTGTGTGTGTGTGTGTGTTATGCTAGTTTGTGTGTGCGCGTGCGTGTGGGTGTATGTGCGTTCATGTGTGTTCGTGTGAACGCATGTGCGTGTGCGTGTGTGTGAGTGTATGTGTGCGAGTGTGCACTGTTGTGTTTTTTAGTACGTGTGCGTGTGTGTGTTAGTATGTGTGCACGCGCGCGTGTGTTTGTGTGTGTGTGTGTATGTGTGTGTGCGGTTGTGCGTGTGTTTGCTTTTTGTGTGTGGGTATGTGCGTGCGTGTCCACTGTTGTTTTGTGTTTGTGTATGTGCTTGTGCGTGTATGTGTGTTCGCTCGTGCGCGCGCGCGTGTGTGTGAGTGTATGTGCGGGTGTGTGTGTGTGTGTATGTGCGCGCGCGCGTATGTGTATGTATAAGCGCGCCCGCGCGTGTATGTATGTGTGCGCGCGTGTGTGTGTGTGTGTGTGAGTGTAGGTGTGCGTGCGTGCGTGTGTGTGTGTGTGTGTGTGTGTGTGTGTGAGTGTAGGTGTGCGTGTGTGCGTGTGTGTGTGTGTGTGTGTGTGTGTGAGTGTAGGTGTGCGTGTGTGTGTGTGTGTGTGTGTGTGTGTGTGTCTGTATTTATGTGAGAGCGCGAGAGCGCGCGTGTGTGTATGCGCGTGCGTGTGTGTGCGTGCGGGTGTGTGTGCGTGCGTGCGTGTGTGTGTGTGCGTGTGTGTGTGTGTGTGTGTGTGGGTGTGGGTGTGTGTTTGTGTGTGTGCGCCCAGAAAACGGAGGCGGAGAATGGAGACGTGGAGGCGAGGTGAATGCAGCGTAGTACTTGGCGAAGGCGGAGGAGAGGAATTTGTGGTGAAGTCGGAGATAGTGGAAACGGGGAATTGAGTTGGAGACGGAAAGAATAGTGACGGCGCGTGGTTGTGGCGGCGGAGGGAGCGGAGTTTATTGTTGAGGTGGATGGAGCAGAGTTTATGGTGGAGGCGGGGGTAGCGGAGGTGGAGAACGAAGGCTTAGAGAGGGGTGTGGTGGTAGATCTGGAGGTGTAGGTGGCAGAGGTGGTGGTGGGTGCACTGGAGTGCAGTAAAGTGGGTACCGCGTGAGGGCTAGTGAGGCTCATATAAAGGACAGTTGGTTACAGCGAAAAACAGTGTGGCTGGTAAGTGGATATCGATACTGCCCCTAAAGATGTTACTACGAGGTTATTCATTTTTCCGAATATCAGCTTGGATACCTATTGGTACTAGAGACAAAGTGAAAAGAACTTTTGTTTTGTGACGGTTTCATCATAACTAACAAAACAAACCCAAACTCGGCATACCTAGTTCTACTAGTCCAGGTGTTACAGTGTTAGTTACCGAAGTACACCTTCAGGTCACTTCAGCAAGTCCGGAGGTAAGGACTCATCATAACTAACAAAACGAGCCAAAACTTAGCACACCCAGTTCTACTAGTCCAAGAGTTCCACTAGTAATCCCGAATTACATTTTGAGGTCACTCCATCAAGATCGGATGTAAGGTCTCATGATAATATCTCATGTAATAGTTCGATTCTATACCTATCAATTTTGTAAAAGCGTCCTTAAAAATCTTGATTATGAAGATGTAGAAAACATGTTAACTGGTTTATGGTAAACACACATACACACACAAACACGCAAGCGCGCGCGCAAACATGCACACATGCGCACACGCACAAACGCATACACACACTCACACACGCACACTTCCGCACACACACAAACACAACAGTGCACACATGCACACACGCACACACACTCACACACACACACACACACACACACACACACACACACACACACACACACACACACACACACGCACGCACGCACGCACGCAAACATGCACTCAGACGAATACCTTATGTCGCCGTTGCCACCACTTCCGCTACAAGAAGGGGCGTTGTCGAGTAATTCGTTAAAAAAAGTCGTTTATTTCGACCACAAGGATCATAAATTCTAGTAATAATACAAATCTTAAAACTAATTTTCGTAAAACTTAAAACTATTTACCTAATTTTAAAACTATATATAAGACAGGCCCGATTAGTCAGCGCGTCTACCATATGACAATGGTTCAGGTATTGAGAAAATGCCCTCAGGATACCATTGGAACTGGCCCGCACCCTGCGCACCAGGGATGTGCATCGTTTACGCATGGTGGTCTAGAAACAATCCACAGGCACATCCGTGAACATACCCGGCGCATTACAATAACGAGGTAGACCAAACAGCACCCTGAATGCATTACATAACACGCATTTAATCTGTACATTGTACCGCCAAAGATACGAAACGGCAACGTCGCGGCTGCATTCAGCCCATCCGATCGTTTATCTTATCATTTGCTGTGCTCTGATTGGCTCATTTAAATCGGATCAACATTTTCCGTAACCATCGCAAGGTGGATTTGTATATCGGATCAACTTCGGCCAACGCTAGCAAACAGTCTCGTGAGTGCAGATGTTGATCCGGTCGGAGCCACATTAGTTACCAGAGATGCATATTGGATCAACAAACGGTGCCGGATCAACATGCGTTTTCGGATCAACAAAGTGCTCGCGTGAAGTCGCGTCTGATCAACATTTACCGTAAAGAGATCAAAGAGATCTCTCTCTCTCTCTATATATATATATATATATATACAATTATTATATTATGTTATAATCATAATACATACACTGAATTTTTAGTTAAACATTTTTATGCACTGATTATTTATCAAATTAGTTATACTAATTCCGGAAGAATGTCGTGGTCACAGTACAAATCCACGAACGCAAAGACTTTAACGTGCTTGAAATAAAGTTCATTTTTCTTTATTTTTATTGAATGACAGAATTAGTAATAATACACATAAAACTGCACTCTTAAAAGTCTCATTGCCTTAAGTTACGGTCCATTTCAGTTTGTTTTGACTGTACAGATTTAGTGTCACTGTAATTTACGTAGTTTTAATTATTTTTGGGAAAAATTACCTATATTAAAAATGATAGGAATCGATTCAGTAAACGATTCTGAACAAACTACTTTCTCAAAGTGCGTTTATTATGTTACATGTTGTATATACAGGTTGTCCCAGAAGTCGACGTCAAGCCGAAACTTCCTGATAGGCGATGCCATACTAGTTACCACAAAAATATAAAAAAAATCTAAGTCATGTATTTCAGAAATTATAGTAACTTTTTTTCGATAAAATGTACACCATGAAACAGTTTTCTCATTCCAGTTGCTACAAATATTTACTTTTTGCCAATTTTTTTCTCTTACGTCATCCTGAATAGTGCTTCTGTAACCTGTAATCCTAAACCCTGTGCCGACCACTCCAGCTTGAAAGAAAATGTAATTTTATACCGAACCAAGTTTTCAGAATTAGTTTTTCGAACTACTTCAACTGACCGTCCTGGAAAAAAACTGTACTACGCCAGTTTGGCAAGTAGCTTTAAAAGTTAGCGCATTTAATAAGGATTCTAACGTGGTATAACAGTTACTCCATTATTTCTTAGATCAGCCATAAAAAAATTTTTGTTAAACAAAGTCAGTTTTTGTTTTTTTGGAACTTACATTAAAACGATTCTAGTGCAACCAAAGCGTTCCTAATGACCGTGGTTTAAATGAGATAGAGACATTCCATAAAGTGTGAGCGAGAAAGATAGTGACGCTTATGAGACACAGACGCAAATACAAACTAAAGTAATAAAATAATGGTTATAAAATTAAGACAGTCAGTTTCGTTTTTATGATAAAATTTATTACTTATTTTACAAAAGATGTTCAAATTGCCGTCCTTGAGCTGCAATACAAGCCCGACATCTTCTTAAAAAAGATCGTGAAATCAGGCGGGCGAATCTTCCATTATTACAAAATTCAACTGCTTCCACTATTCTCTGTCTAAGCTCTTCTACATTTTCAATCGGCTTGGAATATACTTTTTCCTTCACTGCTCCCCAGTAAAAAAAATCTAGAGGATTTAAATCGGGTGAGCGGGTGGGCCACGAGATCGGACCAGCCCGCCCTATCCATCTGTCCGGATATTCCTCGTTAAGGTGTTCTCGAACTAAGCGGCTATAATGCGCTGGACAACCATCTTGTTGGCACCACATAACATAATTTCAGAAATACATGACTTAGATTCTTTTTTATATTTTTTTTTCCTGGTAACTAGTATGGCCTCGCCTATCAGAAAGTTTCGGCTTGACGTCGACTTCTGGGACACCCGATATATAAGTAAAGTAAAGTTACAGCCTATATACGTCCCACTGCTGGGCTCAGGCCTCCCCTCATTTCTGAGAGGGTTTAGGGCAAGGAAGTGTCCGCCGCGCTGCCCAAATGCGTGTTGACGAACTTCACATGTTTCGAATTTTTTTTTATTCCTCAGACATGCAGGTTTCCTCACGATGTTTTCCTTCACCGCCGAGCACGTGGTAAATCAGCACTTAAAATTGCAATTAACAATTTCATTGGTGCCGGCGGGGATCGAACCCGGGTTACTCGCGTTCTGTTATATTTACAGCGAGCGTTAACCACTGAGCTACCACGGCTCTCCACTGAGCTACCACGGCTCTCATTATATTTTTCTGGTAACTAGTATGGCCTCGCCTATCAGAAAGTTTCGGCTTGACGTCGACTTCTGGGACACCCGATATATATATGTGTGTGTGTGTGTATTTGTGGCAACAAACCAGGAGATGGGATGTAGAGTCTTTTGCCAACCCCTATGACAAGCCTTGGCACTAAGATGCGAGGCCTATACTTGTTTTATAAAATAGTTTAAGACTGCTCCCACTTCCGTGGTCTGCGTCCCCCGCAGTGAGGTCATTAGTCATTAAAAATTACAAAAATAAAGTTCACACACGGTAGGAGTGAAACTTTATTTATTTTTTATTAATAAAAATTTATTTATTAATTAATTTATTATTATTAATCTGTTGTGTGCGATATAATATGAAACATTGTATATTGTATTAGTTTTCATTCTCTCGCAGGTTAAATCCTATAGATGCATATGTTGTTTTATATTAAGTGTCGCTTTTTCGTTTCGTTGAGTGTCAAATAACAATAATTCTAATGCAGGCTCCAGACTCCTGTGTGATTCACGGCGTGAATTCAAGCCGTAATTTTGCCGCGAAGTCATCGCAAAAAACACATCCCTCCACATTCGCAATCGTTCACAGTTTAGTTCGCGCGCTCGTCGAGAATGGACGCTGAAGTATCGTTTTCTCCTAGAAAAGCATCGATCACGTCAAAGGCAATTCAAATGGGCTAGTAAATTTTGTCACTGCTTGCTCCAGACTTCCTTTCAGAATCCTTCACCTTTTAATTTCTATAAACGGACATTAGACTTTTTTTCAAATCATCAATCAGTCACTTCTACGCTTTTCGTGGCAGAACCATGCTGCAGTTATATTATTAGTATAGTTGTAGCACGAATGGGTCGGCCCGACCGGGGAAGAACCACGCTCTCACAGAATACCAACGTAAAATAGTAGCTTAATGCTGCTGTTTCGTATGCTGAGTGTAGAGAACCGAGACCATTTTTACTGGAAACGAGGCAAAGGGACAACGCATCTGTAATCGAGGATAGATGTAGATATCTATGGGCCACAGCATCCACATACCATCAGGTGGACTTTGTGCTTGTTTGTCACCCTATCCTATAAAATAAAATAATACTCATTATTTCCTTTATTCGTCCTTATGCGTCATATACTTTCATTTTATTTTTATGATCTTTGTGTTTAGCATCCCATAAAATGGGTTCGGCATGATAACACTTGATCAACAGGAGTTCCCCCTCGTTCGTCCAACTGACGCTCTTTTTGGCGCACCATCCTATGTAAAAAAATACAAATAAGCACAACCTCACAGCAACGAGTCTCGTGCGTTACTCTTTTCACGCGCGAGTGTGGATGCGCCTGCGTTCACGGGAGGTTCACGCCTCGTAAACCCTTTGAAGCGGGCACAAAATACCGACACTGAACGGGGAACATGGCGTGAAAAGGCGCGAAGCCCGTGAACGGGCGCGAAAGCCATCCACATTCGCGATTCACGCCTTTCACAGGTGTTCACGGCGTGAATGTGGAAGGCGCTTTAAGAAGTTTTCATTTTGAAAACTGGCGAAAATACTAGTAGTATGAGTCGCGAACTTGTAACGGGAACTTGACGGACGGCGAATTGCTACAATAGACCTGTAGGTAGATTTTGATATGTAAAAGTGGTGCAAGTTTGTGTATTAAAATGCCTTCACATGTGAACTATTTTATTAGTAGAAATAGCGAAACATGTGCTTCGATGGTGATGGAACCTCAAGTTATTATATCTGCTAACACGCCTTGAGATATACTATTGTCATCGCTGTTTGTTGTTTGTTGCCTCAAGATGTCGTTAAAATGTCCTAGGAATCCGCAATGTGACGCATCAGCATGTTGTAACGTGTTATGAGAATAAAAATACACATTAGATAAGACTGTATGGTCTAAACCTTTGCCTGTCTTAAATAGTGAATCTAAAGAACGTACGAGTTGGAAAAAATCGAAGGGAGGGTGTGTCGTGGGCACTACTGTGTGTTTTACGTGAATACGTGTAAATAACGAAACGACCTCTCAATGGCGACTTTCTCTCCTCTACAACGCGCGATGCGTCACATTTCTCACTCAACGTAACGAATTCTTTGATCCTTTAGCTATCAAGTGATGAAGTGGACGTAGAAGATAGATATGTAGCTGCAAGTAGCAACACCAAACTGTATCCCTCAATTTCGTTATCATCCTTTTTCTGAATTGCCTCTCACTATGGAAGCAAATTTAGACATGTCAAAAAGTGTTACCCTAGAGAGGCAGCTGAAGGCGGCGTGCGGTGGCAATTGCGCGTGCAGTAGCGCACGGTACAGCTGCGGGTGGTGCGCGGGCGGCAGGCGGCGCGGCGCCACCAGCACGCCGCACAGCGCGGCACCGCCACGGCCGCCCCACCGTGCCACCAGCCGCACGCAGCGCGACGCCTCGCCGCACAGCCACCGCTGCCACACGACAAAACTCAACGCATCGACACATAATATACCTATTTTTATGCTGTAACACTACTTAAAACTAAATACACGTTCACATTAACTCGCAAGCGCGGTCACGAAATATCAATCCCGTCAAAATACAAATTACTGCGCGCCACAGTTGATGCCTGGTAGGACAGCTTTCTAGAAAATGCCATGTTAGAACTTTCCACATCCAGCGCCATCTGGTATCGAATAGAAGAACTAAGCTTTCTAGAAAACTCCACACTCGGACTTTCTACACCTAGTCGGTCGGGACCGGTATTTGCTGGAATATTCTAAATGTTTCGATGGAAAAGGCCTATATAAAGCCGTTGCGGGACGCGACCGGAGCAGTATTGAATTTGCGACACAAGTGAAGACCTCGGAGCGAAATAAAGTGAACTAAAGTGTTAATTGTGATTAATTATTAGTGCGTTTTAAGTTTTAATTGGAGTTCAGTAATTAAAGTGTCAATTTTGGTAATTCAATCGGCAGTTTTTACTATCACGAACCCTAAGCTCGTACGTAACAGATTAAAATTCTCTTTTAACGCTGAAACATGACTTCGTTACTATCGCTGAGACTTCTAGTAATGACACTCTCTCAATGCGGCCAAGACACTTTTAGCCGTCACAACCCCTGATCAATCTTAAGAGTTTGCTTGCCTAGTAGTAAGAAAACCACATCACCCTAACATCCTGTCTCTGTCAATTTATTACCTTCGGTCTTATGATATACACATCCTGCACTTACCTAATTTATTTATGTATATTTATATAGTAAGGCTAGGGCATTAGGGACTACTAGAGATTGCTAAGTATAGAGAACTTAGGGTCTGTATAGTCTAATACTCCTACCACATTCAAGTGCAGTCAGATTGTCGAGCAATTGAAGGGAAATTGGGTAAATATTTAAATAAATAGCTACCTGCCTGTACAATGACATCTTCCTGGTATTTCCTATAGTACGAACACGAGACCTACGAATACGAAATGAGGTGATAGATTATCTTACTCCGCCCCCACACGGATGTACAATACAATACTCTTTATTGCACACCAAGAAAAGATAAAAATAAACAAATATTGATGGGAAAACAAAAGGTATTTTTTATTTTGGAAATCATTCTTTTTCAAGGGTTCACCGTTAAACCATAAGTCGATTTCAGTTGAGAATACTAGCCAAATCCCTATCGATACATTCAACTGTTTTGTGAAGATCTTTAATAGTTGTTTGTAAGTATAGTTGGAGATCATTTGCACACAAGTCGCAGAGAGAAGATATTTCGGATGTAATCATATTATTAAAAATTGCGAATAAAAGAGGATAAGACGTCACCTTGTGGAACGCCAGCTACGGTATCAAGTCACGAAGGAAGTCTATCTTGGACACGAATAAGTTGCCGGCGTTCATTCAAAGATCAATAAAGCCAAGAAATTGCAAATGTTGTCCGTGATTTTCAATAACGCCGTAATCGTACTATGCAAGATTTAACAAGATTGGAGAGAGTTTTTCGACCGGGGAATGACCACGCTCTCACAGAATACCAGCGTGAAATAGTACCTTAATGCTGCTGTGTTCCGTATGGTGAGTGTAGAGAACCGGAGACCCTTTTTACTGGAAACGAGGCATTCCATCTTGGTTCTCACGGGTGACAACGCATCTGCATTTTGATTTGTAATCCACGATATATGTAGATATCTATGGGCCGCAGCAACCACTCACAATCAGGTGGACTGTGTGCTTGTTTGTCACCCTATCCTAAAGAAAAAAAGTTAAATTTACAAAACGAAAAATGCTTGTAATAGTGCAATTACGTGATAAAAAGAAGAGGCCAACATACTTCGGCGAGATAGGAAACGAGCGAGTGCAGGAGGCTGTGGGCGAGCGGGCAGCGTGCGGACGCCGTCACGCCGCCCGCCGCACGCTCCGCAACACGCTCCGCCACCTCGCCGCTGCGCACGTTCCTGTGAGCAATGCTATTCAGTCACTTCTATTCAGTGTACATTACAACAATACTTATTGAAAATTATTTAAACTTTTTCACTTCTTCTGAAATATCTTCTGTCATGGGTAGAACCAACATATTTCTTGGGACTTTGAACATTGAAACTCTGGTACACACATATAGACAAACAAGAGAAATCGATAGAGACATTCACTGGTATACTGGTATAAAGGCATCGCCTTCATCGCACTAGTCAGAATTGCGCCCCAAGTCGTTCAGCAGAGCGCGGTTAGTCAAAATGTGTGAAAGCTACACAGAAATGACAGTCTATTTGCATTCTGATTGTTAATTGATTGAACTCGTAGACGTAGAGATTTCTTTGGACATGTGGTCCAAAGAAATCTCTACGTCACCCACTTACCAACAGATGGACCGTAAGCTCATTTATCATTCTATATCTATAAAAAACAATAACATATAATATTGGACCTGGCAAGAGTATGCAAAGCAGCTGCGAGGCGTGCGGCGTGCGGTCGAGGCCGGGCCACTCTACGCAGCACTGCCAAGGCACTGCGCCTGCACCAAACAATTAAGTATTTGACACAAGTAAAATTAAATTCTTTTTAAGGGCTATCGCGTACTGGACAACCACGCTTCAGGCTTGTCGTGGCCGCAAACTTGTTTGTAGGAGCTCCGGCCAACTTTGCGGCTTGTGCAGTCAAATGCGCGACGTATATAATATGTTTTCTATAGTTTACTTGGCGATTGCGGGCCACTGGTCGTGGTCGCAGTCGCCTAGTACGCGAGAACCTTAAGAGTTGTCAAACATTTTATTTACATTAAAAGATAATTTGGTGATTCAAAAAAGTAGGAGGTACCAAATTCGACTGCATTTTTTCTTTTTTCCTATTGTTACGAGCTTGGGGTTCGTGAAAATAAAAATTGAACTACCAAAATTGACACTTTAATTACCGAACACCAGTTACAACTTAAAACACACAATTCAATACTGACTCGGTTGCGGTCCTCACCAGCCTTATATAGGGCCTCTTCTACTAAAACATCTAGAGTTGGAGTACATACCGCTCTCGACTGACTAGGTGTATAAAGTTCTATTATGGAATTTTCTTGAAAGTTCTCCCAGTTCGATACAAGATGGCGCTAGTGGCCATGTACCAGATATTAATTATGGCGCGTAACACTATGTATGTTTGTCACGTGATATCTTCGTTAATTATGAAAGGATGTTAATTATTCTTTTTAATTAAATAGTAGTTTATAACTTCACGGATGTCTCATATAAATTAGGAAGAAAAAGTAACTCGAGGTCTGAAAAGATAAGGGATGAAATTTTTTGTGACTGTGTAGCACGTCTAAATTAGTAAAATTTTGTCTACTAAAAAGGAACTACTTACTACATCTGAAGTCGAGGCTCTAACTCTTCTATGTACTAAATCTAAGCATTTACTTTGTATAAATAATTTTTTTTGTTCATTTGTAGTTGACTGTAAAAATAAATATTTATAGTCAAATATTTGTTCGTAAGTACAAAAATATTATTTCACCCAAAACGGAAAATCGAAAAAGTTTTAGAGAAATTTATATATATATATATATATATATATATATATATATATATATATATATATATATATCACAACATAATTCAATTTATGTGATGTAGTAATTTATTGTTATTAATGAGTATTAACCACCAATAGAATTGTGAATTGCAAGTTTTAGTGTCGATTTATCACGTGGTCGACGGCGGAGGAAACATGCCTATCTGAAAAGACGGAAGAAGATTTCCCTTTGTCGGTCATCAGAAAACTATCTACAAGTATGTTGCCGTTAAATTTAAAATTTTGTAGTAACCTATTTTATACTAAGTTCATTTCGGAATTACTATCTAAAATTATAAACATATTTCTAAGACGTTTATAATTTTAGACAGTAGAGTCATCAAATTAAAAAATAATGACCCACCTGTTCTCTTGTATCCCTTGTTCAGCTCCTGTCGATATAACCCACTCGTCCTTCTGTGCACACATAAAGTTATGGATTTACAAATTTTCAAAAGGGATAAGAGATCTATTAAAAACTTAATGACATTTGACTAATAAGTAAAATTATTGTGGTGCCGTGTATAGACGTCGTTGGAGAATCCATGAGCCCATTTCATTCCTTGGTTGTTGTAAGTGGCGCCTATTGCAATGAGTGCTAATAATCTTACGCTCACCAGATGTCGCTAGTTGGGACTAAGGTGAACATATTTGTTTTTATATAGAAGAGGGGGCAAACAATCATGCAGCTCACCGGATGGTAAGTGACTACCACCGCACATGAACAACCGCAACACCAGGGGAATTGCAGCAACTTAATATTACCAAGTTGCCGGCCTTTTAAAAAGGAGTAAGCTCTTTTCTTGAAGGTCCTTAAATCGTATCGGTCCGGAAAAGTAGCCGATGGTAAACAATTCCACATAGAAGTTGTACGAGAAGGAAAACTCATTGTAAAACGCACAGTGGTGGCATGAAATACTGTCCCGCTCTGCTGAGCATGCCAAGGTATTTTAGAGGCCAATTTGGGCTTCTCTTCCAAATGACCACGAATTGTTACGCAGATGGTCAAATAGTGCTATCGTCATTGAATAGTTGCGAATTATAAACCTTTTTAACTTATACTTCTACATTTAGGAATATCCGTTGTTTGGATAAGCCATTTCTAATCTAATTCACATAAACTGTAACTGAACGCATAAAGAAATATTAATCTCTAAACTTTTCTAACTTATTTACTTCCCTCGCCATGAAATCTGTTAAATATTTCACCTCAAGTGGCGCCACCCTGATGTTAGAAGAAGTCGTGGACGTGCCCCTCTTGCCAGAAAAACATTATGCCTTCCGATAGATGGCGGCATAATCACGTCGTTTACGTCAGACGTAAAATACCCAGATCGGCGCCGGGCAGGCCAAAGGTGGAGAAGTCTGGTACGGAGATTGTTAATCCGCATGTCCAGTGTGGTCGTTAACTAATAGATTGTTTCATACGCACTGACCTCTATATATACAAGTACGCTGGACTGGCTATACCATAGAAAATGACTGTGCCAATTTGAAGCGCCGCTAAAGGATGTCTTTAAAAATAAAATTGACATAATACGAGTATGTCAAAGTCTGTTGTCTCATTTATATTGTCTTATTTAATAAGTCCGTATTTTGAACTTTTAAACTAAAAAACGAAAGTATTTTATGTTGTTTCAATGTGTATAATATTAGTTACATAATAAGAATTATTTTTATTAATAATGAGAGTGTGCGTAATCTGTCAAACTCCTTACCAAAAGGGAAGTAGTATACATTTCACAAGTAAGTGAATTTGCAGCAAATATGTGAACAAATTAAAACTATTTAATAATACAAGTACTTACAAATTTGTTACTAATCTTAATATCATATATAACAACATCTTTGGCTATATATTACTGAGTTTTGATAAACAATAAAATTCAATAGGGTTGTCGAGTTCCTTGTCTATAATACTTATCGATGTTCTTTCCTAACCATATCTGTTAACAAACAAAGTCGCTCACAACAGTTGATTATCAAATGTTTATTAATTAACAGGTTTCAATTGAACCTAGACTAAAAATATGGCTTAAAAGTATAAATATTGTGAATTAGCGTCCGAAACAAAATGATCATATTTGTTCCAAACATTTCACAGACGACTGTTTTATTAGACATGAGAACTGCACCACTTTGAAAAAGTGCAGTATACCGACAATATTTTCTGGTAGTACCAGTACCAGTAAGTATAAAAGTATTAGATTATTATTTCGAATGTTTTTTTTATTTCTTCTTTCCTCATTTTCCACCAAACTCAAGGGCCATAGCCAAGTGTCGAAAGGTCACCTGATGATGTCGAGCCACGTTGTATGTGTTTTAGTGGGCTGCGGCTAGAGGAGATTCCTCTCCCTGTACCGCTGTAGTCGAGGTGGAGTCGTAAGGGAAGAGGAGTGTTGGTATGGCGATTGGCGATGCACCACTCGACTATCTTTTGCGACTTTGGTGAGGCTGCACCACTTGATGCTTTCAAGTGCTCGTTTTTCCCTGGCTCCATTCACATATCGGGCTCGGGGAGTCCGTAGTGCAGGTGGAGTTAGAGGACGCGAAGGGCAGTGTGGCTTGCTTCTGGTGCGCCTTATCTGAGAATGAAAACGGTGAGGAGAAGTCAGCAACTAAGGAGGGGCCGCCATTTGGCGGCTGGCGGCGGTGGGGCCGCGGATGTGCATGAAAGCATTTCCGTGGAACTGCCAATTTGCGGCGGAGGTGCAACACCATAGGGTTTTAGTAAGTGAGAGTCTAGAGATTTAATTATCTCTCGAGTCTCAAAATTTAATTTGTGCCTTAACTTCATAGTGGCCCTACTTTAGTTTCCTTCTTATTTACAAATTCTTGCCATCGTTTACATTCACGGTTTTTGGCAGCTTCCTCTCGCGCAACATCCACCGACAAAGATAATCAAGTGTTCGATCAAGAACCCATGGATTGCGATACGTCAAGTCCCCCAGAATACGTGGCACTGCCGAAGCTGGAAAGCTTAGGAGCTAGTGCAATATGCGCCGATAAAGGTGATCCGTATTTTGATCTCAAAACTATGGAAGTAGGTACGTTGCTGCCTCCAGAATACATGGAGCTGCCCGAGATTGAGAGCCTGGAAAGTTCTTCTTTTTTATGTTGGTATCTTGATTTTTCTTTTATTTTTATTACAAGCAAACCGTGGCAAATGTCATGTGTTAAGTTGTTTTTTCGTGTTATTTATAAATTTGGTATATAGGTCGGAACACAAGTTGCTATCGGGAACAGACTGTCGCTTCAAAGAAGGTTTTGTCTATTTCTGAAGTCCGTAATAATATCAAGCATGATCATCGTTATGAATACTCCCCTAGATCATCCAAAAAGACATTGGAACGAGTTCAGAAATCTTTGAAAAACACACGAGCTCGTGTAAAAGTCCTATCGCAACATGTGAAACGATTAAAGGTCAGCATTACTTGTTTAAGAAATGTAATTATTGAATTAAAGAGAAGAAAATTAATTAACGATGACTGCGCAAATCTATTAAATCTGTATGACGACTTCAAGCCACAATTGTTTAAAAGGATGATATTTAATACTGGGAAAAATGTCAGCCGTGCTAAGTATCCCCCGGAATAAAGAGCTTTTGCTATTACTCTCCACTTTTACTCCCCAAAAGCATACGCTTTCGTCAGAAAAAAGTTTAATATAGCATTACCACATCCTCGGGTAATACGCTCCTGGTATAGCTCTGTAGATTCGAATCCGGGGTTCTTAGTTGAAAGTTTTAATGCTTTACTACTTAAAAGTAACCAAGCAAAACAGAATGGAGAAACACTAATTTGTGCTTTGATCATAGACGAAATGAGCTTAAAGAAAAGTTGCTCTCGCAGCCGTGATGGTGTAATGCGTGGTTACGTTGATTTTGGCATTGATTCCGAATGTAATGATTTACCTGATTGTAAGGACGCATTGGTTTTTATGATTGTTCGGTTAAAAGGCAATTGGAAAATACCAATCGCCTATTTTTTTATTAATGGGTTCCCTGCTGAATCAAAGAGTGCCTTAATTAAACAGGCTTTAATTCGCTTGCACGATGTTTCAGTAAAAATATGCTCCATAACTTTAGATGGACCACCCGAGCATTTTTCTACGGTAGCTAAACTAGGGTTAGTGTTGAAAGCAGGAAACGACACTAAACCTTTCTTTTATCACCCAATAGATAAGAACCACAAGATTTATGTAGTATTTGATCCCTGTCATATGCTTAAAAATATAAGAAATTGTTTAGGTGACTTAAAGGTTTTAAAGGATCACGAAGGGAATTTAATAAAGCGGGAATATATTGAAAATTTGGCAGCATTGCAGGAATCTGAGGGCCTGAGGTTAGGAAATCGACTAAGGAGTTCGCCTATACATTATAAAAAATGATAATGAAAGTTTATCTTGCAGCTCAAACACTTAGTAGCAGTGTAGCAGATGCGATTGAATTTTGCGACACTATTTTACAACTTCCAGAATTTAAAGGTTCAGCTTCAACAGTTAGATTTATAAGAGCAGTTGACCGTATTTTTGATTTTTTTTTTTAAAAACCTGGGGGGGGAGCAGGGTTTTTTTTTTTTTTTTTATTTAAATTTTTTACAACCACCACCACGAAAATTAGAAATAGCTTGGTGGCGCTTCCTTGGGGTTTTTTTATTTTTTTTAATAATATTTTTTTTAAAAAAATTTTAATTTAATTATTTTTAAATTTTTTTGTTTTTGAATGTAAGAAATCCATGGGGGTGTGGATATAAAAGTCCACTTAGGACTACAAACGAGAAAAGGTGGAGGTCTAAAATAATGGAGGAAATTAATTACCTTAGCAAAATAAAACTACATGATGATAGATTGGTGGTACAATCACGTCGTAAAGCAGGTTTTTTGGGGTTTTACAATGCAGTTATTTCTGTTCTTCATATTTACAATAGCTATTTTAAAGCAGATAAGCCTGAACTTAATTACTTGTTGACGTACAAGTTAAGCCAAGATCACTTGGAATTATTTTTTTGTGCGATTCGTAGCCGAGGTGGTTGGTGTCCAAATCCAACCGCCGCTCAGTTTGTAAACGCATTTAAGCAATTGTTAATTCACCATGAAATAACTAATTCCACGGGTAATGTCCAGGGAAACAACTTATCAATATTAGCTGTATCTTCTGGTTCTTCAAAAGGGGCTAAAATCAACAAATTTAATGTAGATGACTATAGCAATGCTGAAAATATACGTACAATAAAAAAATATAGTTTAGAAGAAATAGATTCGCCAACCCTGCATGATGAAATAAGTGAATTTTTACACCTGTTTTGGGCAGTACCTGACTCAAACGTAAACGAAACGTCTAAACAGTGTGTAGGATATATTGCAGGATTTGTCATTCGAGCGATACGAAAGAAAATTAGATGTGACGATTGCTTGATAGCTTGCGAATCTGTACCACAAGATCCTGTGAGGAATCGCAGAAATGGTATTGCTCTCGTTGTACAAAAAACGAGGGGTGGTTTAACTATGCCTTCTACAAGTGTGGTAAATATTTGTTTATTGGTCGAGTCATTATTCCGCCATGTTGTTAAAAATAATAATGGTAAACCTCCGATAGAACCAAATTTTTCTGCACTTTTAACTGCAAAGGTACTAAGAGATCTTATAGTTAAAACGGAAATATTGTTTCCTGATCTACAATACCATTTTAAGGACACTTTGGTTTCAGATAATTTTACTAGCCACTTTCACATTCTAGTAAAACATATTATCATCAAGTATATAGAAATCCGTCTGTATGCAGCTACAAAAACTTATTCCCTGTACATTACAGGCGATAAAGTATCCGTAATTTTTTGTCTCGTCAAATTATTTTGGCTCGTCAATGACATAATAATAATAATATTACATTCCATTACAGCCTATAAAAGTCAACTGCTGAAATTAGGTCTCCTTCGTAGATTGCCTCATGATGAATTTTGTTTTAGTTGCCAGTTGCCAGTTGCCACGCTTGGCAAGCGGGTTGACAATCACGATTTTGTATTTTTAGTCGTTGTTAGGAAGAAGTTGCTGCCCATCTCCTGATCCAGTTTTCCTCTGTCGCCTCTGACGACGCTCTCAGGATGACATGGGCCAGTGGAAATTCTTACACCACCACTACACGGAGTAACAACTTTTACATAAGGAAATATTAAAATAGTTTACTTTCTTTTCTGCTTAAGAGTAGTTCCTAAAAAAACTGTATCTGCGACTGATCATCGCTGCTTGTAATAAGAAGTTGTTTAGTTTCTTGCTTCCTCGCTCGAAGGCTAAGTATAGCCATTCAGTGAGGACACGTAGCCAGCATTCTTGGGACGATACCATGGAAAGTAGGACTGTATGATAATTACAGTTATTTTTTATTTTATTTTTTGATATCGTTATTTTAATTTCGATAATAACGTTGTAAATAACTGATAACTATGTAATTCAAAGTTTATATGTTTTTTATATTACCTTGCTAGCTCGTAAATATCGTTAAAAACTTGGAACAGTTATATTGTGTAATTCGGAATGATAATACAATCATTGAAATAGAATGATAAGTATATAACTTTCTGTAACTTTCAAATAAATAGTCAGTATAATACGCACGCCACCTAGTGTCAGTTAATTGTACCATGCGTGTAACCTTCGCACAAGTGCAACCAATAACTTGACAAAGTTTTACCGAAATCTGATGAACGGCATGGCATCGTAGAAAGTACGAGCAAACATAAATTTTTATATAGTAGAAAATATTTTACTGTCTATAGACAGACCTGTAGTTGATTAGAATAGGCGTTTTATAGCAGCTGATTTGTTTTTTTATAATACTAGAACTAAATGAACGGTTGACAATAAATTATTTTAGAAATTATGTTTTTATTTTTATTTTGTGTAGTTAGTTTAATCTTAATAATTTTTTAGTTGAATGGTCTAAGGGCTACAATGGCTATCCGAGTACAGAACCAGAGTACAAACTAATCCAACTGTAGAGATGTGCAAGACAGGGTGACGTAATATCCCCGAAATACTTTACCGATGCATTGGAAGACGTTTTCAAGCTACTGGACTGGAAAGGATATGGTATTAACGTCAATGGCGTGTACGTCACTTACCTTCGATTTGCCGACAATATAGTCCTTATGGCAGAATCGCTGGAGGACCCACGGACTTTGTTCAATGTGTCCTCAATAGTGTCTCCCAACGGATAGGTGTTAAGATGAACATGGACAAAACAAAAGTCATGTGTAATGTCCATGTCACACCTATGCTGGTGGTTTTTGGGAGCACTTAGCTGAAGTTGTTGACGAGTATTTTTACTTGGGAGTCCGACTAGGTAAGTTCAACTTCGACCGACAGGTCAATCGACGGATTCAACTCGGCTGGGCAGCGTTCGGGAGATTACAACACATCTTCTCGTCAGGAATACCTCAAAACTAGATTGTACAACCAGTGCGTGTTGCCAGTTTTGACCTATGGATCTGAGACGAGGTCTTTCACTGCTGGCCGTATGAGGAAGCTCGAAGTCGCTCAGTGAGCTATGAAGAGGGCTATGCTCAGGGGTTCAAACTTAGGAATGAGTATATCTGCAGCAGGACTAGAGTAACCGACATCGTCCAATGGTATAGTAAGCTGAAGTGGTAATTGACCGGCCATATAGCTCGAAGAACCGAATACCGATGATGAAAGAAGGTTATCGAGTGGCAGCCTTGTACCAGCAGGTGAAGTGTAGTACGTTCCCCCACTAGATGGAGTCAAAACCTGGTAAGACATGCAGGAAGTTGATGGATGCAGATGGCTCTGGACCGTGCTTTGTGGCATTGCTTGGGGGAGGCCCATGTCCAGCATGGACTTGTGAAGGGTTTTAATGATGATTAATGATTATTGCATTATATTAATATGATACATAAATAGAATGGACGTTACGGGTAGAGTCCATCTATCCAGAGTCCATTCTATTTCTTTATTTAGGTATGGTAGGGTATAGAATTTTTATCGATATAATTTGGTACACTGTCTTATCCCTATTATTAGTTCCGTGGACGTGCACTTTTGCTATCAGCGCCAAAATGGCGGAAATCAAATCGCTTCATCATGTCACGTCTATAGCCAGTCCAGCGTACTTATACAGGTGATCTTTTCGATTGTAGCGGCGCTGTCGTCGCGCCACTAGCACACCGAAACACACCGAAGGCTAAATCGCGCTATTAACATTCCGAATCATAAACAGTATATATAGAACATCTCCGAACTATCACATGGAGTGTCGGCCGCTCCCCGGACAGAACACCTTGCCCGGCGGGAGATCTCCCATTTTTCTTCCACGGCCACAGTGGTGACCATCCGACGTGATCTGAACACGCAACCTACAACCTTCGGAAACTTCAAGCTTCATCATCGTCATAAAATACCCCACCCATTCGCTCCCGAGTAGATATCGTCTGCAATCTTTATATCCTGCAAGCCATCTAGCTTCACAAGGTTCATCGCAGCACTGGAATAATAATGCTTCCTGTTCCTTCAAGCTACTGCTCGCCTCTGCTTTACGGCACTCTCGCAGATTACTTGCCTTCTTCTCGACTCACCGCCGACTATAAGGTAATCTCCTGGCACTTGCACATTCGTCGGCAACGTCGGCAACGAGGCTGCACTATCGACCTCCGGTCTGAGCAGGGGGTGATGTAGCGGCGCTGTCGTCGCGCCACTAGCACACCGAAACACACCGAAGGCTAAATCGCGCTATTAACATTCCGAATCATATAAACAGTATATATAGAACAGCTCCGAACTATCACATGGAGCGTTGGCCTCGGCCGCTCCCCGGGCACAATACCTTGCCCGGCGGGAGATCTCCCCTTTTCCTTCATCGGCCACAGATAGTTGATACGTTAGTTTATTTTTAAGAAGGCGCTGCTGGCCACCTGGTTTCTTTCTCTCTGTCGTCTTTTACGACACTCACGGAACGATATGGAGTAGTGGATATTCTTACACCGATCGTGACACTTAAGGCAAATCCAAAGGGGAGACCCGTGCCTAGCATCACCGATTTTAAAGTCAAGACAAAAAAAGAAATATAAAGATTACTAAACAATGAACTGACATATAGATATAAAAGTTACTTTGCGGCCTACAAATGCGAATTTTTTATCATCTAAAGTGACCTGTATGACGAAGGTGAGCGGCTTGCAATTGTTCTCACATTTCTTCAGGCAGGGTGGTAAGGGACGCCTCACTCGTAAAGCCGCCACTAATTCCCACACCTTGCTGTCTAACTTGCACAACCGCTCCACGTCACTAGCCCATTCTCTGCGAATTTTTTAAGTCTGTGATTACAAGCACATTGCTATTTACATGCCGATCTTCTTTTGTATAATCGCAAGTAACAAATCTTACTTTGCAAGTGCTTCGATGTCTTTCAAATATCTATCAACGAGGCTGTAAATGACGCGAGCATCTGCTAGGTTGTTGTCACCGTCCAGCACAGGTTTGATATTGGGTACACGGGGTCTACAAGCATAAACAAATAGAACTATATGAACTTACTATAAAACAACAGCAAAAAAGCGCTGAAGCTAGCATTAATTTGTACAATACATATGTAGTACATAGTAAAAACTTTACCTAGTAGACGAGCGATCATTTACTTCAAGTAGGTTGTCAATAGCCATCTGTAAGGGAAGAGGCGGCGGCTTCCGAGGCGCCCGGGGCTGTGTGGGCAAGCTCTCGTTGGAGCAACTCGGCAGGGAACTTTTCCACGCCGCGTCCAAACCCTGAGAATGTGAATCTAATTAATTCGTTAACTTTAGCGAGTTGGTCCTCCGAGCCACTTTTAGTAGTACTAAACGCAAGAAGTGCTAATCTGAAGACTACACAATCATAATATTGTAACAAAACATTTAAATAGACAATTTCTTCTTTAAATATAGAAAAAATTAAAATGTTCAATGTTTTATTTTTAATATTTTTTACAATATTTTATTATATTTAAAATGTTGTTATACTAATTTACATAATATGAACGATAAAAAGTATTATTAAATTTACCACATAAGTAGATATAATACTCCTACAGGTAATTATGCTCCCGTGCACTGGTTTGTGATTAGTCGACCTTCTTTAATCGCCAGAGAACATTAGTTTAAAGCAATGTGCAGAGCGTGCATTTGAAGAAAAATTTGTTATATGCCACATCCATAGACTAAGAAATAAATACCTGTTCGGAAATGAACCTTGCGATATCAGCGTGGTGAGGAACTGCTCGTACTTTATCCCCCTCCTCCAACCAACGAGCGTACTCACGAACCAATCTTAAACCAACAGTATTATATGAAATTAAAAGTTTTTAGAAATTTCTGATTAGATTTTAACTACCATTACAAAGAGTTTATAAGGTGAAAATTTTCTAATTGGTAAGATAGGCTAATATTCAGAGTCACAGACAGTGGGAATAAGATTGGACTCAAAACTGTATGTTCTGGCACAAATTTTGATCTAGGACTAGGATTTGAATCTGGGACAAGTGAAAAAGCTGGGTTACCACTAAATCGTACATTCATAAAAATGGCGATAAAGGTTATTTGATATAAGTAATTACAAAATTATATATCAATATTTGGAATATTAACTCACTTTTCTGCTGCAACGTGATAATTTAATAGATGGAGCGTCTCTCGTGAATTTCCTGTGGTCTTCTTATTTATTTCTTCTTCTTTCTTAACTCTTACTCCTTCTTTCTCTTCATCTGACGTCTCTTCATCGGTTTCAGTTTCGCTAGAACTCGATTCTCCAGCCAAATCGATTATCGATATTGCTGGAAACATATTACTGTCAATCGTTGTTTTGGTTGTGCTAATTTTACTCGATGTAGGATTCTTGTGGGTTTGAACGTTGGCGTTGATTTGAGATTTTAGCCGTTCCGCTTGACTATGATGGTAGGTGATGGTCTCTTGTAGGCGCTTCTTGACTTGTGATAAAGTGCGCGATTTTATAATGCCACTGAAGAATAATGGACCGATAGGTGGCGTTGAGTCCTGCCTGTAAAATTTTTAAAAGTTTGTGTTTGTATTTCTTTGATATAACAACTTCGAATTAAGCAGGCCACAGATGCGTTGTAACCCCTAAAGACTAAAATGAAATGCATCACATTTTTTAATTAGAAAGAAAGAAAAATAATTTAATTTTGTGTATAAACTCTTGTTTACTAAAATTAAAATTTACACTTTACTTCAAAAAATATTTAGTTTTTCATTTTTTATATTTAGTGAATTATAACTATAAAAAATAAGTGTGAATATCATGCACCAAAAAAAAGTAAAATTTAAACAATAATTCCAAATCAGTATGTGCTATAACGTGGTACGTTTCAGCATCAATTTTTAGTACCATATTATGTAAAAAAATTCAAGTATTGTGTATAGTAGCTGAATTTAGAATTGATAATTCATCACACATGCATCACATCATGCCCTTACTCAAGAGTACATAGATGAACATCGCTTTCTGCCATAGACTGCCTTATGGGGTCATCGTTTGCCGTTGACAGGCGCTTGATAGCATTGATACGCTCGACAGCCGGATTGGCAACATGAACAATGGATGCATTTCTGATTGACGTCGAAACCAGACAAGAGGGTGATTTTTTATTTAAAAATTTACAGCTAAGTAAATGGACACTTAATATAAACTCATTTTATGCCTCAAAGTTCATAATGAAAAAAGAAATTTGAATTAAAATTATTTTATTTAACTCACGGACTGGACTGCGGTCTCTGGAGGTAAAGATGAAAAAATAATCTCCAAAGTGTGAGATGTGCGGGATTCTGCCAAGGCGCTGACAGGACCGCTGTCGCCACACGATATATCACCAGATCCTCTGCACTCATTGTGACACCAATTTGCTGTGAAAATAAGTAAATTCTACTTTTTATATAATGCTAAACAGATTAAACGGTCCTAGCAATAATTATTGTTTTCAGCCCGTAAATTAGTCCGCAGCTGTGCTTCTCTAGAAAAGGTTCGTGGCAATCACCACGCTTGGCAAGCGGACTGGCAAACGTACTTTCGACATAATCCTACTGTTCTTATTGTCATCGTCTCATCTTACGTCTAGCAAGTACGAGCCTTTTTTTATAGGAACACTCACGAGACATTATAAAAGTAAACTGTTCACCGCATTACCACCGTAGTTTCGATAATTCTTAGTTATAATGTTCACTGTGCGGGTTGTTTACAGCGTGCGGCTTAAGTAATTTAGTCCTGTAGTCGTAAAAGTCTACTGAGGGATATACTAGAAAATTATTATGCCATTCAACAGATTGATTGCGTAAGTGATTGAGTGCGTTGTCGACGTGTGCGTGTGCTGCTGTGCGAGCGTCTAAGATAGACAGAGCAGAGGATGGTGTATGGTGTTGGTTGTGTTGGCGGACCTTGAGCGCGTTGTCGACGTGCGTGCGCTGCGCCAGCTGGCGCTGGTGCGCGAGCGCGTGCAGCAGGCGCGTCCAGAGCGGCGTGCGCGCCTCGCAGTGCGCATGCGCACCGCGCAGCACAGCTTCGCAAAGCAACGGCGCCACGTGCACACACCGCACCGCGTCCGATATGTATTCGTTGCGGTTCTCGTCCTACAGTATATTTCCATTAGTTGTTCATTGCAACACAGCAACAGTCCACAGTTGATATTTTTTTAATTTAGGACAACAAACAATAAGTACAAGGCGTAACTTAATAAGGATTAATAATTAACTTGAGTAACTATGTAATTAAGATAGACAAAGTGCGCAAAGATATTATCGGATGTCAAGTCGGAAGAAAGAAGATGAACAGGGTAATCCAATTATAATAGCCGTATTTCAAATTCAGTGTGTGTATGTTTATATAATATAATGAATGTTAATATTAAATAATTATTTAACAATAATAATAACATAATAAATGTTCCCCCTTCATATTGCTGTGCCCATGAGTGTCTACAGAGATACCATAAAACTATGTAACACCTTTTGTAACCTATGGAATACAATTAAGTTATTGAGTATTGAGTATCCTCAAGTTCGGCAACTTTACCCTTCACCGGGAGAGTGACTGTTCCAAGCAGGTGTCGCATTTATCGTACATAGGTCTGTTGTCAAAAGTTACGTATCTTATACTCAGAATCACCAAACGGAATTCCTTGAAGGTCGTACAGGTTTATGCATACTAAGGAAAGTACACCCCTCAAACTTTTTTTTATACGATAGGGCGACAAACGAGCACACAGTCCACCTAATGGTAAGTGGTTGCTGTGGCCCATGGACATCCACATCTATCCTCGATTACAAATCAAAATGCAAACGCGTTGTCACCCGTAATGACTAAGATGAAATGCCTCGTTTCCAGTGAAGCTTCGGTAGATTTTTCTAGAATTTCTCATAGTCTCCTTTTACGATATCTATAGAACAAAATGGAGTGATGGATTCGCTGCCAACTCATGATGACACAATATACATTTGAACGGAGATAAATAATATATTTGCTCCATAAATAGCACCTGACCTGTAGCATTACTGCGACGGTAGAGTCGAGTGCGGGCCAATCCCTGGCAGCCCTTAAGGCCACATCCAAAATGGCTCGCGCTGAGCTGCCCAAAAAGGGCGCCCACAAACCTCGCAGCCATGGACTTATAGCCCCGCTCTCGTATCTATGACACAAATACAAATAACCATAATGAAAGTTCGAATGAAATAAGAGAAAAACCCTTAAACTTCTGGTACTATCACTGAAATGTAACTCGTACTACTATATACTCGTACTACTATATACTCGTACTACTATATACTCGTACTACTATATACTCGTACTAATATAGTACTCGCGTACTATATCAACATGTTTACCTATGTTTATAGGACTAAGAGCCATCCAAGGATTGAGACTCAAAATTGCCTATCTTGTTTGCAGTTTACGAAATGAATATTTTGTAACGTAGAATGTTTCTATAATAGCTGTAGCACGAATGGGTCGGCTCGACTGGGGTAGGATCACGCTCTCACAGAACACCAGCGTAAAATAGTAGCTAAATGCTGCTGTGTTTCGTATGGTTAGTGTAGAGAACCGGAGATCCTTTTTACTGGAAACGAGGCATTCCATCTTAGTCATCACGGATGACAACGCATCTGCATTTTGATTCGTAATCGAGAATAGATGTATGATTAAAACTACTTTTACGGATTTTATCGCGTTTATTTTTACTTTTTATTTACTTTTTTTTTTTAATTCCCGACGTTTCGGGCGCTTTCCGGCACCCACGGTCACGGGGGACTGAGATGACTGACGTCCCGATGTCATTGTTAAACTCGGAGTACCTTCAGCATTTTTAATTATTGTTGACATCGGGACGTCAGTCATCTCAGTCCCCCCGTGACCATGGGTGCTGGAAAGCGCCCGAAACGTCGGGAATTAAAAAAAAAAAGTAAATAAAAAGTAAAAATAAACGCGATAAAATCCGTAAAAGTAGTTTTAATCATGTATAGTGTTCGCGTAAATATAAGAAATCATTATGAGAATAGATGTAGATGTCTATAGGCCACAGCAACCACTTACCATCAGGTGTGGTGTGTACCATCGGGACTGTGTGCTCGTTTATCACCCTATCCTATAAAAAAATATTATGCCAAAATGTCGTTGTCATTGTTTTATTTTGATCTTCTTCCTTCTTTATCGGATACTAATAGTCTATTGCTAAACATGGATCTCTCTCAATGTGAAAAGGCTACAAAATTGTACACCGCTATCTATCGGAAACCATGTCATTTATACATTTATTACAGACTATCAAAAGTCTACAGCTGAACGTAGACCTCGACCACATTAGTAAAGAAACCAACCTGACGCAGTGCTTTCTAAGAATTGTTCAAAATTTTTACCCATTTTGGCAGGGTTGACACAGGAGGATAATATTAAATAAACAAAACGTTTATCAGCTTTTTATAATGTACCCATTGTAAAATATTATTAGTCCTTATATTTAAATTTTTGTAATAAGTTTTTTTTCGTAAATAATCTAATATAGAAAGCACTCACATAGCATATAAAAGCCTGCACACGTTTTATTATATCACTATCAATATTAATAAAATAATTAATTTCGAAATCAAAATATTCTTGCAATTTTTGCTCAAGCAATTCCACAATTGCGATAAATTTGTTGACGTATAATTATTTTTTAGGTAAATTTGTTGCTGTATTTGTAGTAGTATACCTATCATAGCGCGGTCGTATGAAGCTTTGCCTCTGGTCGATTTCTGTACTCATGTGCCTCGAACGTAAGTAAATGCCTCATAAGTGATATTTCCCATAGGTTCCCATAGATTATTTCATGGGGGGGAGAAAGAAAAAAAGGAGGGTTGAAAAGGTTGCCATGCCTGGCAGGCGGATTGGTGACCGCAGTTTTTTTATTATTGTTCATTTCCCTCTATTGTCTCTTACAACTCCCACGGGACCTTATGAGATAGTGGATTCTTTTGCGCCACCACTACACTACAAATTGCCAATTGTTAAATCCCAAAAAGTATATACCTAACACATATAAAATAAAAAATGTTAAAATTAAAAAGATGTTCGGGAGAATTTTATGCACCACAACAATAAATCGATTTGAAATAAAAATAACTAGTTATAAGTTCTTTGCACAAACGAAAAACATAAGGTTGAGTCTCGCGACCGTATTGGTAGGCAAACACAAAAACACTAAAAATTTAGAATATTATTATCATTTATTAATCAGTCATGCGCGACTGATTAATAAATGATATTAATATTCTACATTTTTAGTGATTTTGTGTTTAATTACTAAAATGCCGACGTGGGAGAATGCACGGTGTTGCACCGTACAGCAATCAACACATCATCGATACTTACTGCGAGCTGTTCAGTTCGTTTAACAGCTCTTGCTGCAGCAGCTCAGCACCAGATGGTCCCCCGCGGCCCAGCGCCCGGGACACCAGAGACGGACCCGCCGCCAGCAGTACATTGAACACTTCTGTGAACCTGTAAGGACAGTCAGGACCACATTGACAAATTTGAGAGACGAGACAAAAGTAAAAATTAAAGTATGTAGAGCATGCACACTTGTCAAAGGTGACATTATATATATATATATATATATATATATATATATATTATATATATATATATTTATATGAGATCTCTTTACGGTAAATGTTGATCAGACGCGACTTCACGCGAGCACTTTGTTGATCCAAAAACGCATGTTGATCCGGCGCCTTTTGTTGATCCAATATGCATCTCTGGTAACTAATGTGGCTCCGACCGGATCAACATCTGCACTCACGAGACTGTTTGCCAGCGTTTGCCGAAGTTGATCTGATATACAAATCCACCTTGCGATGGTTACGGAAAATGTTGATCCGATTTAAATAAGCCAGCCAGAGCACAGCAAACGATAAGATAAACGATCGGATTGGTTGAAAGCAGCCGCGACGTTGCCGTTTCGTATCTTTGGCGGTACAAGCTACAGATTTAATGCGTGTTCAATATAATAATGTATTCTGGGTGCTGTTGGGTCTGCCTCGTTATTGTAATGCGCGGGGTTTGTTTTGCGGATGCGCGTGTGAATTGTTTCTACACCACGATGCGTAAACGATGCACATCCCTGGTGCGCAGGGTGCGGGCCAGTTCGAATGGTATCCTGAGGGCATTTTCTGACAGGTTTGAGGTCAGTACCTGAACCATTGTCATATGGTGCACGTGCTGACTAATCGGGCTTGTCTTAGATATGGTTTTAAAATTAAGTAAATAGTTTTAAGTTTTACTAAAATTAGTTTTAAGATTTTTATTATTACTAACATCTATGACCCTTGTGGTCGAAGGAAGGACAAAGCCCCTTGTGTAGCGGAAGTGGCGGAAACGGCGACATAAGTTATTCGTCTGAGTGCATGTTTGTGTGTGTGTGTGTGTGTGTGTGTATGTGTGTATGTGTGTGTATGTGTGTGTATGTGCGCGCGTGCGTTAGTGTGTGTATGTGTGTGCGCGCGCGGGTGTAAGCGTGTGCTTGCGCACGTGGGTGTGCGAGTTTATGTGTGCGCGTGCGTGTGGGTGTATGTGCGTTCATGTGTGTTCGTGTGAACGCATGTGCGTTCGTGTGTGTGTGAGTGTGTGTGTGTGCGTGAGTGCACTGTTGTGTTTTTTTGAGTACGTGCGTGTACGAGTGTGCGTGTGCGTGCGTGAGTGCGTGTGTGTGTGTGTGTGCATATGTGTGCGTGTGCATATGTGTACGTGTGTGTGTACGCGTGTGCGTGTGCGCGTGTGTGCATGTGTGCGTGTATGCATGTGTGCGTGTGTGCACTGTTGTGTTTGTGTGTGTGCGGCAGTGTGCGTGTGTGCGTGTGTGAGCAAAATTGATAGGTATAGAATCGAACCATTACATGAGATATTATCATGAGACCTTACCTCCGGTCTTGATGGTGTGACCTCAAAATGTAATTCGGGATTACTACTGAAACTCCTGGACTAGTAGAACTGGGTGTGCCGAGTTTGGGCTCGTTTTGTTACTTATGATGAGTCCTTACCTCCGGACTTGTTGAAGTGACCTGAAGGTATCCTTCGGTAACTAATACTCTTAACACCTGGACTAGTAGAACTAGGTATGCCGAGTTTGGGTTTTTTTTTTTTGTTAGTTATGATGAAACCGTCACAAAACAAAAGTTATTTTCACTTTGTCTCTAGTACTAATAGGTAGCCAAGCTGATATTCTGAAAAATGGATAATATTGTAGTAACACCTTTATGGGCAGTATCGATATCCACTTATCAGCTACACTGTTTTTAGCTGTAACCAACTGTCCTTTATGTGAGCCTCACTTGCCCTCACGCGGTACCCACTTTACTGCACTCCAGTGAACATACTACCACCTCTGCTACCTACGCCTCCACATCTTCCACCGCACCCCTCTCTATGCCTTCGTTCTCCACCTCCGCTACCTCCGTCTCCACTATAAACTCTGCTCCCTCCGCCTCAACAATAAATTTCGCTCCCTCCGCCGCCACCACCACGCGCCGTCAATATTCTTTCCGCCTCCAACACAATCTAAGGTCGCCCCACTTCTGACCCCGCTCTCCCCGTTTCCACTGTCTCCGACTTCACCACAAATTCCTCTCCTCCGCCTTCACAACAAACTACGCTGCATTCCCGTCCGCCACAACCACGTCTCCATTCTCCGCCTCTGTTTTCTGCGTGCACACACACACACACACACACACACACTACACACACACACACACACACACACGCACACACACACACACACGCACACACACACGCTAAAGGAGAACGCAACACACACACTCCCCACACACACACACACAACACACACACACACACACACACACACACGCTCACACACACACACACACACACCACGCACACACAAGCAGACAACCGCACAAACACACGCACACTGCTGCACACACACGTACTCAAAGAAACGCAACAGTGCGCACACACACATACACTCACATACACCTACACGCACGCGCACATACACGCACACACAAAACGCGCACACACACTCGCACGCATGCATCAGCACACACTCGTACGCACGCACAAAAGCAAATACACGCTAAACCCCACACACACACGAACAATAGTTAACACACACACGCACACGCGTACGCGCGCGCACACACATACTAACACCGACATACACCCCCACGAATGCATACGCACGCACACACACACACACACACATACACACAAGCACACACACACACACACACACACACACACACTACAATCACACGCACACCACACACACACACGTACTCACAAAAACGCAACAGTGCACACACGCACACATACACTCACATACACGCGCACGCACATGCGTTCACACGAACACACATGAACGCACATACACCTACACGCACGCGCACACAAAACGCGCACACAACAGACTCGCACGTATACATCAGCACACACTCGTACGCACACACAAAAGCAAATACACCCTAACCCGCACACACACACACACACATACATACGAACAATAGTTAATACACACACGCACATACTCGCACACACACACACACACACACACACACACACACACACACACACACACACAAACGTTCACACGAACACACATGAACGCACATACACCCACACGCAAGTGCACACACGAAGTCGCACACACACACACACACACACACACACACACACACACACACACACACCGGTAAACACACGCGCGCGCACGAAATGGCACCCCCCACACTTACACACACACACATACTCTTGATAAATTAATTTGTAATAAAGCACTATCCATCATCTTCTAATTGCTCTATGACAAATGAACAAAATAACACAAATTCACTCACAAGATAACAAAAACTCGAACAAACTTCTTTCCACAATAACACCTGCCAAAGTTTGATCCACAAAATCGGCAGATAATGCATTTTCTTACCTTATTACTATAACGAAGTAGCCTACTGGGTTCTCTGTAACACACAGAACGCGACGTTGCCGCTTCGTGTTCGAGTACCTATTCGTCAATTATGGCTCCGGATCCACTTAGTCTAAGTAAATGTCGCATATAAATTAAATATACTCTGGATCTAAAAAAATCATATTCAGTATGATTTTTTTCGGCCGTTGACAGATCAACAAATGGTGGTCAAATCGCTGACGAGTATATTGAAAACCTGTTAGTGCAGATCCACCGACGTCACACGCGCATCAAGGATATATCAAAGTATATCAGTTTGTGCGACGAGGAGCTGAGCAAATACGTCAAATAGGTGGATCAACAATTGTTCTAACTTCTCACTGGATCAACATTTACCGTGAAAGGATGTTTTTTTTATAATATATATATATATATATCGTTGGTGATTACTAATTTTTGTTAAAATACACTTATGTGTAAAATACAATTATCACCGATAATGACAGATGTTTTAAATGGTTTTTACCAATATTTAGCAGTGATTTGTTTAGAATTTTTGTAGCTTTATTAATCGGTATTTAGTTTACAATTCGACAGATTTGTCACTTTTACTAAATAAATTTGTCAGATTGAAACTTTACTAGATAGTTAGGGCATTTTTAAAAAAAAAAGAATATTAACAATGCTATAAACATTACTAATATTCCCCTTAACCACTCGTGGTAAGCTTAAATTGCTTGTGTTACGAGTGGTTCACGCCAGTAGTCGAATGGCGGATTCGAACCCACGATCTTTTTGAGTTCGCGGTCCGCGCCCTGCCATTAGGCTACTGTCGCTTCAAATATTATATTTATATTATATACTTAGTTAGATAGCGCTAGGTCGTTTAATGTTAGTGTGGTTTTACAGTGACGCTTTCGCCAGCGCGGGTGGTAAGCGCGGCCCGTAAACGCGCGGATGATCCGCTTGAAACTATAAAATGAACTTAGAATCGCGCGGTTTTGTTTACTGTTGAAACGCGCGGCAGAATGCCGCCAGCGCGGGCCATCCGCGCGTGTTAGTTAAACTATGTAACGATCCAAGAGACTCAACGCTCGCGGCCCGCGAAGCTTATCAACCGCGCTGGCGAAAGCGTCACTGTAAAACCACACTTAGGCGAAGTATTACTTGCAGATTTCGACAATATTGAATATATTTACAAAGTGAAGTTTATATATGACATGTGAACTGACTCTGGCGTGAGTGCGATAGACTCGGGCGAGTGGCGCAGCACGCGCATGGCGAGGCGCGCGCACCGCGCCGCCTCCCACGCTCGCGCCCGCGCCACCAGCTTCAGCGCACGGGCGCCCTCTGAACAAATCTGACGCAAACAAACAACCACGTTCGTTAAAAGGCAGCTCTTCACGTTGGCCAACATAGTGGCGAATGTTGTGGAAATGATATTAGCCAAGACTTTGTCTGTTGGAAGGTCGTTCAGTTTGCCTCGGTTCAGGCTAATATGCAGACGAATTTATTAAAATGTATATTGAGGTGCTAACGCATGCTACGGTTTATTTATACACAGCATACCGCTACTATTATAATTTTTACTTTTGTGATTTTTTTTGGGTTCTACAAACCAATTTCTGCTTGGTAGAGCTCTAAAAACCGAAGTTTTTTCAATGGTCATTGTTTATGACATTTTGTAGACAATGATTACGACGCGTGAATATAAAACTTAAATCAGGCGCGTGTAATCTATCTGGGAGTTCGTAGCACAAACTAAACGCGCGCCCAACGTGTGGACGCGGCAGCCAACTCTGCCACAATCCTTTTGATCTTATGTAAGAAATCAACACCACACGGATCTCGCGCTATCAGATCGACCATTATTCCAATACATACCAAGGTAAGCACAAACACCCGCTCTACGTGATGTTGGTATTGGCCACAACATTCGCCACTATGTTGGCCAACGTGAAGAGCTGCCGAAAAACAAACTTTATATTTCCAAACACTTCTCCGTATACTACTAGACACGCAATTCAGAATTAACGCTATGTCCATAGAATACTATAATACACAATAGAATGGCTGTCAACCATATTTTGTATGAGGATCGGTGGATCGAAATAAACTTTAAATGACGTTAACTAAATGCACACATAAATAATGACAACATTTAGTATTTTTATTAAATTTAGTCACATTAGACAAAATACGTGTTACATCGTCAAAAACAAAACATTCGCGTTCGCGGTTTACAGAACAAAGAACTAGTCTACCCACTTACTTGCAGTCAACTAAAGGAGTTGCGGAGAGTTGACCGTAACTTAATGCACAATGTGTTAAGGTCACAGTGTCCGTCTAGCAACATACACAGAGTCTTTGTATATTTCATTATCACAACTTGTCATCCGGACTTCTTCTTCAACAAGATTATAGAAGTAAATTTATACGAAAACTCTATATTTAATTAAAGTAATTTTTTGACGTCATCATATTCAATTTGACTTTCTTTTAATTCTGATTTCACGAGATTACACTTTATGGTGTTTGACGTCTTTATGTTATAATTAAGCGGGCTATCTTTAACTAGATCTAGTGGAACGAGCTTACGGCTTCAAATGTTATTTTGTTTTATTATTTAAAAATAAATCAAATACAAATTCAAAAAATTTCATTCGACTTGAACTTATTTATATTTCTTATGAACGTCTAAATTTACACCAATTCTGAATATACAAAACCTTCTCAAAGGACATCAAACAAAAAACTGAGATTTTTTAAGTATTATGTTACAAATTAGTTTACAACATCATTATGAAAAGTGTATCAAACTTACCAGCGGCACAGAATGCCCCCAGCTCGTAGATAGCAATGCGAAAGTGGTCGAGAACAGATCGTCCGGTTCGTTATCAGGTGGAGGGGCGTCCAGCGGCAGCCGCCAGTAGGTGCGGTGCGTGCGCAGGCGGCGCAGCACGCACCACGCCCACTCAGGCGCCACGCCTGCGTACCGCGTGCGTACGTGACCGCACAACCACGCGCCCACGCTCAGCTGCGTCTCCAGCGACAAACCTCTGTTATAAACATGTTATAAAATTCATTACAGCCCTTCAAAATTCCACTGCTGAACATAGGCCTTCCCCAAGGAATGCCACAAAACACGCTCTTGAGCCACCTGCATCCGTCGACTTCCTAAATATCTTATTAGGTCGTCACTCCATCTAGTGTGGGGCCGCCCTAACTTTCCCTACCAGTACGAGGTAAGTACTCGTTATAAAGTTTAATTAAACAAAAACTGTATAAAAAGGGTTATTACGATATAAACGAATACATGGTTGATAAGAACCACTGGGAATGAGGTGGTCGCTTCCAAGCTGTTTTGTGAAATAAATTTTGTAAATATTCTGTGACCCTTGGCATTGTAAAATTTAAAAAAAAAATCCGTTGGGTTTCTTACTGGTTCTTCCCAGGGCAGAGGTTTTTTTCGACCCAGTGGTAACGTCAAATATTGACTTTCAATAAGAATTACTTGTGATCTATATTTAATAAAAAATTATTTTATTTATTTTTATACTGTACGATTTTTTCACTATCTGGAAAAAAATAGAGTGTAACAGGTGAACGGTATAGAAGCCTATGGCACTGATATGTTACAATTTTTTTTTTATTTTTCATTAACTTATTATGAAATTGATCTACCAATAAATAGTACTAATTTGAGATAAACTTTAGGTACCAAAAATGAAAAACAAAAATTTTGAATTAAATAAATAAATCAATTAAAAACTATCGAAGTTCAAATCATACGCACCCTACTTTACGAGCAGCAATAAAACAACGAATTTGTAACGCACTCGCCGCACTTAACAGACCGACCGTCAGGACCTTTGTCCTTACGCAGTGTCGAAAGCGCAAGGCCCGACCGCACTCTCATTTCATTTCAGTCACCTGTAATTAGCTACGGCGTGACAACGATTGGTTATGTTTCAGAGTGTGTATCGGCCGTCCGCTGATAATTATCGTAAACATATTGTGATGGTGAGAAAAAAAAACATACTACTCCATCATCATCTTTACAACCCTTCACAACTCTACTACTGAAGCGGCTTCTTATATATTATTAATAAATTCCTCTTCCTACATCTCTTCCGTGCCGAGCCGTGTAGTGGCGGTCAAGAATATCCACTTCCCCATATCTTCCCGTGGGTGTCGTAAAAGGCGACAGAGGGAGACAGGCAGGAGATGGGCAGCAGCATCTTCCTGATAACAGCAACTGTACAACAAAAAACTGCGGTTGCCAACCCGCTCGCCAAGCGTGGCAACTATGGAAATATACCCCCCATGAAGAATTACACAAATAGACGGCCCCCATTCCCCGGCGGCCCAGCTATTCCTGGCTACGGTGGCGACCATGGTAACGGCGGGGCAAGGGGTGCTAAGAATCTCCGGTGAAGGTTCGGTTGCCACCTACGACGACTCGACCTGGCAACATTTAACGCACGTACCCTGAGGACTGACGAGAAGATCCTGGAGCTGGAAGAAGAGATAGACAAGTTGCGCTGGAATATTATAGAATTATCCGAGGTCCGAAGAGAGGGGGAGGATACGGTGATTCTCGAATCCGGCAACTTGTTCTATCACCGGGAGGGCGACCATCTGTCCCAAGGAGGTGTTGGATTTATCGTCCACAAGTCTCTCGTTAACAATGTTTTAAAGATTGGGAGTGTATCGACGAGGGTTGCGTACCTTATACTCAGAATCACCAAACGGTATTCGCTGAAGGTCATACAGGTTTACGCGCCAACGTCGAAACATCCCGATGAGGACGTGGAGGAAATGTATGAGGATATTTCCAGAGCCATGCATTCCTCCAAAACCCACTACACGGTGTTGATGGGAGACTTCAACGCAAAACTGGGCACAAGAAAGAACGGTCAGCTGAAGGTAGGGAAATTAGGGATAGGGCAACGGAACCCAACGGGCCAGTAGCTGGTCGACTTCATGGAGAAAGAGGGACTTTTTATGATGAACTCTTTCTTCCAGAAGCGGCCCCACAGAAAGTGGACCTGGTCGAGCCCCAACGGTTCGACAAAAAACGAGATTGACTTCATTATGACGACCAGACGCCAACTGTTCAGTGATGTCTCAGTGATCGCAAGTGTGAAAACTAGCAGCGATCACCGAATGGTTAGAGGCACACTGAACCTAAACGTTAAGTTGGAGAGGCCTCGTCTAATGAAGTCAACGCTTCGTCTCCTCGTGCTCTAATCCAGAATCCCGAAACCTTTCAGCTCGAGTTACGTAACCGCTTTCAGTGCCTAGAAGATTGCAATGCAGTGGACGATATGAATGACAAGCTCGTGGAAACTGTCCATGCGGTCGGAGCTACGTTCTGCAAGACCCGCCGCAGAAGAACACAAAAGCTCTCCGATCACACTCTGAATCTCATGGCTGTTAGACGGGAGATGAGGCTGCAATCGTCAACAGATTTGACAGCATACAGGCAACTGAACAGACAGATCTCCAAATGTATGCGGCGAGACTTACGCAACTTTAATACTGCTCGTATTAAAGAAGCGATCGAGCGGAACCAGGGCTCCAAAGTCTTTGCCAGAGATCTGTCTGCCAGAAAGAGCCAACTGTCAAAGCTGAAGACTGAGTGTGGCAGCATCGTTTCCAGAATACCTGAGATTTTGAGTGAGATTGAGATGTTCTATGGGCAGCTGTACACATCGTTGGAGACACACGCAAGTGTGAGTAACGATCCAAGAGCAAGTCTTATGCGACACTATTCCGATGATATCCCGGACGTCAGTCTGAGCGAGATTAGAATGGCTCTCCAGCACCTTAAAAACGGCAGGGCCCCAGGCGAGGATGGAATTACAGCGGAGCTTCTGAAAGCGGGTGGAACACCGGTACTTGAAGTCCTTCAGAAGCTCTTCAATTCCGTCCTCCATGGTGACACTACTCCGGAGGCGTGGAGCAGAAGTGCGGTGGTCTTGTTCTTTAAGAAAGGCGACAACGCTCTCTTAAAGAACTACAGACCGATTTCCCTTCTGAGCCGCGTCTACGTGCTGTTTTCGAGAGTCATTACGAATCGTCTCGCACACAGACTCGACGACTTCCAGCCTACCGAACAAGCCGGTTTCCGAAAAGGCTTCAGTACCATAGACCACATACATACCCTGCGGCAGATTGTACAGAAGACCGAAGAGTACAATCTGCCACTTTGCCTGGCGTATGTGGACTATGAGAAAGCCTTTGATTCCGTCGAAATTTGGGCGGTGCTATAGTCCATTCAGCGGTGCCAAGTTGACTATCGGTATATCGAAATGCTGAAGTGTTTGTAAAGCAGGGCTACGATAGCTATCAGAGTACAGAACCAGAATTCGAAACCTATCCAACTGCAGAGAAGTGTAAGACAGGGTGACGTTATATCCCCGAAACTCTTCACCGCTGCATTGGAAGACGGAAGCTACTGGACTGAAAAGGATACGGTATTAACATCAATGGCGAGTACACCACTCACCTTCGATTTGCCGACGATATAGTCCTTATGGCAGAATCGATGGAGGACCTAAGCACTATGCTCAATGACCTCAATGGTGTCTCCCAACGGATAGGTCTTAAGATGAACGTGGATAAAACAAAGATCATGTCTAATGTCCATCTCACACCTACGCCAGGATTTGTTATGAGCACTATACTCGAAGTGGTTGACGAGTACGTTTACCTGGGACAAATAGTCCGACTAGGTAAATCCAACTTCGACCGAGAGGTCAATCGACGGATTTAACTCGGCTGGGCAGCGTCCGGGAAATTACGACACATCTTCTCGTCAGGTATACCTCAATCTCTGAAAACTAAAGTGTAGAACCAGTGCGTGTTCCCAGTGATGACTTACGGATCTGAGACGTGGTCCTACACTGCTGGCCGTATGAGGACGCTCAAGGTCGCTCAGCGAGCTATGGAGAGGGCTATGCTCGGAGTTTCTCTGCGTGATAGACTCAGAAATGAGGATATCCGCAGTAAAACCAGAGTGACCGACATAGCTCAACGGATTAGTAAGCTGAAGTGGCAATGGGCCGGCCATATAACTCGAAGAACCCATAACCGATGGGGCAGAAAGGTTCTCGAGTGGCAGCCTCGTACTGGTATGCGTAGTGTAGGGCAACCTCCCACTAGATGGAGTGACGACCTGGTAAGATATGCAGGAAGTCGATGGATGCAGGTGGCTCAGGACCGTGCTTTGTGGCATTCTTGTGAAGGGCTGTAGTGATGAAGACATCTCTTCCGACATCACACCATCTAGTGAGGATAATACTTGAAGCCAGTTTTTATTTCCGTTCAACGCCATCTGTTCGCGATAACGGAAACTAAATTACTGCGAACAACACTAGATCAGAAATGCTTGCGTCTTGGAAACAATCAGCAAGCAACCTGGCGGCATTATGTTCTAAATATTAAATTTTATAATAATATAAAGGCTGATTCATGCCAATTAAGTGGCGTATAAAGTCACGTTCTATGAATGTGCCATACGACGATCAAACATGACGTAACTTACAAGGGACGCAGCTAAATTATATGGCATTATATCTAGGGTACGTGAGGGTATTACGATCATCCGGTTAATATGGTCACTTTCTTTCAACTCAAATATTACCCTTGTTTGCATAGATGGCTCCGTGATACGATAGATTTTAATTAGTCAATTAAAAATTAAAAGATCTAAAGTGCGCTGCTCTAACGACGCCATTTTGACAATTGATAGTATAGTATATAATATGATTGTTAACTGTTATTTATGAGTTGATTTTTCCAACTGTTCCTAATTATTGCGTAAGTTTGCTTGCTATTTATTTCTTAACATATAAGTTATAGTAAACGACTTTGTGTTTTTGTCTCTGTTCTGTTCCTAGTTTAGGTTTAATAGAGCGGCAAAAATTAAGATAACCATATTATCCTCACGTACTTTATACATAATTAGGAAAATGTAGGGTTATTATTTTTCATTCTTACTCATACGGGGTGTAGTCCAGCTGTAGCAACAAATGCTCAATAAATTGTGGGCACCGTTGGGACCAGTCTTCCAGAACTGCCAACATCTCGCGAGCGGTTGGACGCCACTCTTCCACCGACAGATAGCTTACTGACGCCGGGTCCACTGGTTCCGCTGGGGATAGATGTTATCTTAATTTATAGTCACGTCAATCAAACGCAAGTCACGGGTTCGAATTTAATTCGACATAAACTGCTACCCCATAATATCATCTCGTGGGTGTCACGACAATGAATGAAATACAGATTACTAATGATCAATTAAATGTATAGGTCGAAATAGTTTCCGGTTCGATCCCGTATAATTTAAAAGAGAACAGGGTATTAAATATATTATTAAACGCTGATTTGTTTCCCCCTCTCTCGTAAGAGGCGACAGAGGGGAAACAAATCAGCGTCTTCCTAATAACGCCTAAAAGTAAAAAATTGTGGTTGCCAACCTCAAGCGGGGCAACTATAGCAAATACCCTCCCGATGAGGCAGTCTATGGGGTGGCCTATGTTGAGCGGTGGCCTTTAATAGGTTGTAACGGTAACGATAAAAACTTGCATTATTTAATAGTATTGAAAAGCTCGGGTGACACTATCACAAAAATATCTTCGAATTTAAATTTATCATCATCATCATCATCATTACAGCCCTTCGCAAGTCCACTGCTGAACTTAGGCCTCCCCCAAAGTATGCCACAAAGCACGGCCCTGAGCCACCTGCATCCATCGACTTATTGCATGTCTTACCAGGTCGTCACTCCATCTAGTGGAGGATCGCCCTAAACTTCGCCTACCGGTACGAGGCTGCCACTCGAGAACCTTTTTTCCCCAACGGTTGTCGGTTCTTCGAGCTATATGGCCGGCCCATTGCCACTTCAGCTTACTAATCCGTTGGGCTATGTCGATCACTTTAGTTCTACTGCGGATATCCTCATTTCTAAGTTTATCACGCAGAGAAATCTCGAGCATAGCCCTCTCTATAGCTCGCTGAGCGACTTTGAAGGACCACGTCTCAGTTCCATAGGTCATCACTGGCAACACGCACTGATTGTACAATTTAGTTTTCAGGTTTTGAGATATACCTGACGAGAAGTTGTTCATCTTAAGACCTATCCGTTGGGGGGCACTATTGAGGTCATTGAGCATAGTGCTTAGGTCCTCCAGCGATTCTGCCATAAGGACTATATCGTCGGCGAATCGAAAGTAAGTGAGTGTGAGATCAGATATTGGCATGAAAGAAACGAGCCATCTGACACTGCATTCTCAAGTGCTAAACATGGCGATTACAAGTGGAAATTACACACTACATTGCTTATATATTATTATAATCATAGAATAATATGGTAACTATATATAGTATTCTATGATTACAATATTACTATAATATTAGTCACAGGCTTATAAAGAAAAACAGATACGGATCGAAAAATAATTCCCAAAAACATAGTTAAAAAGAAAAACGTAGTTTAATTTAATCTTTCCGGCACTTAGTATATCTTATGCAATTTTTGAATGGAAAATGTGGTCAAAAACATCTAATAATATCATAAACTTCGAAGGCACTTATATTTAAAGAGACATCCAAAAGGTTATTACATAACTTAAAAACTATAACTTTTGCATATCAAATGAGAATTTTCTGGTTAAAAAAAAAAACAATATTTTAAAAGCTTTTTTACAAATTAAAAACTTCTTTCAATTTATTTGACTTTGGATAAAACTCATTTAACGGACTGTATCCGGTTCATATCCATTTATTTTCATTGTTATGTATTTCACTTGATTTTTATTATTTTCTCATTTCAAGAAACTTTATCAAACAGCATTACACACCTTGGTTCAAATCTGCCAGCATATGGAAGCTGGTGGTGTGAAGGTATGGATGTACAGCCAATAGTCGCGGCAAGCCTTCGCGAGCCTTCAACTCACAAGAGTTTTTACACGCTGCCGGCTTAGGTTTCATGGCAGTCTGAAAAGAAAACAATATGGTAAAAGCATAAATGACTTCCTTGAAATCTATGTTGAATAAAAATTATTCTATTCTATTGCAAATAATAGTTACATTAATGAACTGGTCATTAAAAGAAAGGGTATTCATTAAAAGAAAGGTGTTTCGTATGGTAGAGAACCGGAGACCCTTTTTACTAGAAACGAGGTATATCCATCTAAGTCCTCAGGGTTGAAAACGCATCTGCATTTTGATTCTTAATTGAGGATAAATATAGATGTCTATGGGCCACAGCATCCACCCACCATCAGGTGGACTGTGTGCTCGTTTATCACCATTACTCTATAAAAAAAAAACTAAAATCGAATACAGTACTTTTCGCTGCACATTGGTGCTGCAATCGTCAATTGTGTTGAACGAATCCTTTCTGTAGCTGGAGAGACCAACATTTAAATTTATGATGCTAATGAGCTGATCCACTGCGTATTGTAGAGAATCAGAGGATTCTTTTACCGGTAACGAGGGAGTCTACTTTAGTCCTCAAGGGTTACTTACATCACATCTGCATTTTCATTCTTAATCAAGAATAAATGTAGATGTCTATGGATAAAAGTAAACAGTAAAAAGTAAAGTTACAGCCTATATACGTCCCACTGCTGGGCTCAGGCCTCCCCCTCATTTCTGAGAGGGTTTAGGGCAAGGAAGTGTCCGCCGCGCTGCCCAAATGCGTGTTGACGAACTTTACATGTCTTCGAAAAATATTTTTTTTCTTATTCCTCAGACATGCAGGTTTCCTCACGATGTTTTCCTTCACCGCCGAGCACGTGGTAAATCAGCACTTAAAATTGCAATTAACAATTTCATTGGTGCCGGCGGGGATCGAACCCGGGTTACTCGCGTTCTGTTATATTTACAGCGAGCGTTAACCACTGAGCTACCACGGCTCTTATCTTGGCTCTCTTGATGTCTATGGATAACAGCATCTATTTATCATCAGGTGGACTGTGTACTCGTTTGTCACCCTTATTATAATTAAAAGAATCAGGTGTTACTTTGTCAAATCCATTATATTAAAGTTGGTAAGAATTACTTCGTCCATATCAACTCATTGAAATAAAATTATGTGTCTTACCTAGTTTGGAGAGCACCTCCCGCCCTTCCGCTAAGCTAAGCAGTCAGCCACCGCAGTGTCTACGTCACCTGAGGATGCCTCGTGTAGATGCGAAACAATTGTCGTAGTATCCTAGTATAGTGGTGCTGGGATTAGTGGTGACGGGATTAGTGCACGCAATTGAAGGAGGGCGGGAGGTGCTCCTCAAACTAGGTAAGACACATCATTTTATTTTATTGAGCGGATGTGTGCGATGTAATTATTACCAACTTTAACCCTAATTCTATATAAAAAAACACACCTGACACAAGAAGTCGAGTAGCATCCGCGCAAGTTCGTGATCGTCCGTACGATCGAGCGCTGCTTGTACGAGGATGCCGACGCACGTGTCGCAGTCCAACGCCGGAAGTTCAGCGCGTAACGAACTGATGTGATGCGGTCTTTTTTCTAAGAAGAACATAAGATTCAGATCAAATATTTTTTTACTTATTTATTTATGTAAACACAACAAGTTACAGAAACAGTCTTATAGTAAGTTCGTACAAAGGTTCTACTTATTCCATAATTTGCTGAAATATCTTCCAGTAGACCCATCAAGGAAAATATATTAAAATGGCAAACTTAGTGCATACATTACGACTACTAATGAATAAACAATATACAAATTTAACGTAAATTATATTAAATATTACTATAAACAAAAATAAAATAAATCAATGCATAAAAATAAGAAATACGATGGTTACTTACAATATATACAAACTAAAAACTAAATGCCTCGTTAGTTTAGTGGTTGTAGTAGTGCGACTGCTGATCATGAGGTCCTGGGTTCGAAACCCGGGTCGGGCCAAAAAATTAATCATTGAGTTTTTTTATCAAGAAATTGTCAGTAGCTGCCCGGAGTCAGGAAGTTGATGGTGTCTCACCCCCGTGCCTCGGAAAGCACGTAAAGCCGTTGGTCCTGCGCCTGATCTCTCTCCGGTCGTGTCGGTTTACCGTACCATCGGATTATGAGAGTGAGGGAATAGAGAGTGCACCTGTGCTTGCGCATACACTTGGGCACTATAATCCTGTCCTGTGTCGATGGCTAGCCTCCGTTGAGGCAGGCCGCCGTGGCCGAAATTCGGTCTGAAGGACATTATTATTATTAAAATTAATAATATAAAAAGATAAAATATATTGGCACTATAATCATGTCCTAGTCTACGTTGAGGCAGGCCGCCGTGACCGAAATTCGGTCTGAAGGACATTATTATTATTAAAATTAATAATATAAAAAGATAAAATATATTGGAACTATAATCATGTCGTAATCTACGTTGAGGCAGGCCGCCGTGACCGAAATTCGGTCTGAAGGACATTATTATTATTAAAATTAATAATATAAAAAGATAAAATATATTGGAACTATAATCATGTCGTAATCTACGTTGAGGCAGGCCGCCGTGACCGAAATTCGGTCTGAAGGACATTATTATTATTAAAATTAATAATATAAAAAGATAAAATATATTGGAACTATAATCATGTCCTAATCTACGTTGAGGCAGGCCGCCGTGACCGAAATTCGGTCTGAAGGACATTATTATTATTAAAATAAATAATATAAAAAGATAAAATATATTGGCAATATAATCATGTCCTAGTCTACGTTGAGGCAGGCCGCCGTGACCGAAATTCGGTCTGGAGGACATTATATTATTATTATTATGTAAACTAATACTAATATAATAAAATAATATATAATACTTAATAGGTTGCAAAGAAGTTATCTCTGACACGTTTTTTAAATAACAATGCAGTTTCGGAATTTCTTATATTAGGCGGTAGCGAGTTCCATAACCTTATCGCAATTATAGACGGGAAAGTTAAGAAGGTCTGCATGGTTTATCCGGAGGATGAGTGAGCGAAAATGGGCTTCTGAGATATGAAGGAGCGGAAGGATTGTGCAAGATTTTATAGAGGAGACCTAACAATCGAGTGTTCTTTCGGAGTCGAATTGGGAGCCACTTGAGTTGCTTGCGAAACTGATATTCAGTCAAATTTCTTGAGCCCAATTATGAAACGGATACACTGATTTTGCAAGCGCTCAAGTTTATTAAGGAGCCACTCTGTAGCATCCAAATAATAGGCATCCGCATAATTAAGGAGAGGTAGGATAAGAGTAAGCACGAGTAATATTTTAGCTCTTAGGGGTAAGACATTTTGTAGACATTTAAGTGAATGCATGGTAAAGTGGATCTTATGACTAACCTCAGCGACATTTTTTATAGAATAATGGTGACAAAACGAGCACACAGTCCACCTGATAGTAAGTAGATGCTGTGGCCCATAGATATCTACATTTATCATCGATTAACAATCAAAACGCATCTGCGTTGTCACACCTGATGACTAAGATGGAATGCCTCGTTTCCAGTAAAAAAGGGTCTCCGGGTCTCTACACTCACCATACGAAATACAGCAGCTATTTTACGCGGGTATTCTGTGAGAGCGTGGTCCTTCCCCGGTCGAGTCGACCCATTCGTGCTACAACCATAATATAGCTGCAGCGTGGCACTACCACGTATAACGTGTATAGGTGTATGTGTGGACCGTGATAAATCTTGATCAAATATGACGCCTAAGTTTTTAATAGTATTGGAAAAGGTTATAGGAACGCCACTAAAACAAACATGAGGTAGTGATGTAAATTCTAATTTATCACGCAAATGCCTGCTGCCTATTATGATGGCCTGAGATTCCGTGGGATTAACTAATAGTCCGAAGGATGCAGACCATTCACAGATGCGGCTCAGGATCCGCATTCATGGCTGCAATTGCATTATTTGTATCACCCACCGGAAAATGACGATAAAGTTGTAAGTCATCCACGTAGAGATGTTAATTAGATGTAGTAACACTCGTAATAGAGTTAATAAATATGGAAAATAAAAGAGGAGAAGGAACGCCACCCTGAGGTACTCCTGTAGTGATACCAGACCAATCGGAAAGAGTGTCATTAAGACGGTCAGTGTGTAAGAGTGTCATTAAGATTGTTTATTCCAAATTCTTGCTTATCAAATGAAGAAAAAATCTTACCACTGCTGAACGAAGGCATCTTCTATAGATTGTCTCATATTTGGCATGATCGGCACGCTCATTATACTGTAGTGTGTGTTTAGTGTATGCTCATGTAGCTATATATATGATAGCCTAATAGACATTTAGAGTTAGTAATAAACCTACATTCAAGACTGCTAGACGTTTAATTTATTCCTCGAACCTCCCAACATTACATGGCGACCCTGCCAGTCGGTGCGCGCGCGACTCCGCTCGCCGCGTGCACCGGCTGGCTACCGATAGTAAAATTATAACAAATACATAAAAATCGTTAAATAAAAGTTATGACACATGAACATTTGACACATTCCCGGATTGAGAAAATTAATTAAAGTCGCGTAGAGCCAGCCATCAAAAAGTTACATGATTGTGAATAAATATTTATAAAATAAAATTAAAACATAAGAAGTATAAAATCAAAAGGCAAAGATGCATCAAAAAGGAGAAGAGAGGATAAGAGAAATAACTTTTTCACTCCGGATAAGAAGAATATTGGTTGAGAAGATCTAAATTGAAGTATACAATGGTGTTCACAAAGGAAATTTTACATTATCAAGATATATACACAATTTTCAAAAACTCGTAACAACCAAGCAAAACAAAAAGATATTTTTATTTTAAATTATCATGAATTTAATCGAGTGGCCAGTTTTTAGGAGGAATGAATTTTTCGTGTACTCCATATTACGTACCAGAAAACAGGAAGTATTTTATTTACAAGAAACATAAAAAAATTTTTAATAGAGACTGTAATGTAAAAAATATGCTTGATGTATCTACAAAATAATTACTGTATAAAATGCAAATTATATGATTATATTTTAAGGTGAGTGATTTTAATTAAGTATTTATATCTTTTAAAATTCTAATTTCATAAAATTAAAAATATAATAACTAGTCACCAATCATATATTTTTACCATTTTTTATTTTTTAACTCATTTTGTTCATTTAATAGATGGAACACTCTCAAAAGAAAGCAAGTGCTATTTGTATATTCATATCCTTATTATTTTAGCGTGCTTACTTTAATTATCTATTTGGTTCTAAAATATTTAACATAACGAATGAAAAAGAGGAACTTTATTTTATTGATATCAGATAAAAGACAACTTATGAATAAATTTTGTAAAATATAAATTGATCGATGTATAATATTAATTTAAAACGCATCTTGACTTAATAATGCAAAAGAATATTAACTGATCTATTTTATTAATAGTGAAAATTGCAATATTTTGTGTACTATTTAGAATTATTCGAAATGTAATATCATGTTTTCTTTGTATTAACATTGCGCATCAAATTCTAAACAATGCTGACGTGATCTTTTGCATATAAGGCATCGGAATATTACACGTAGTTGATACAGAATGATGCATTAATATACACTACTGTTGTCTCCTGACTTGCCTTCAAAATATTGACTATACTTTTTCATTCACTTTATCTACGATTAAAATCCAGTATTCAATTGATAAAAAAGACTTGATAAAATAAACTATTATTTTGTAATACAAAACTGTATAGTAGTTCGATACTTTTTTTTTTGAGATAATATGATTATTGAATTTAGGTAATAGCTCTAAACTCTAATGACTTATGAACTATTGAAGCTAAGACAAATATTAAACAACTTATATGACAAAAAAAAATGCGATGTGAATTAATGATGTCAAAACATAAAGTTTATGAAGTGGGGAAAAACAATTATTTGTGCCTTTGAAGTATTAAAAGCAATTAAAAGATTTCTTACAGGTACACTATCGATCATGTTGTATATTAATCATTATATATATATATATATATATATATATATATATATATATATATATATATATATATATATATTTTTAACAGTAGTGTGAATTACTAGTAGTTTGATTTCGTTGATCACTAGTTCATTTTGAAAGAAGAGAAGAAACATTTATTAAGAACATTTCACACATATAATTAATTAAGGTATAACAAAATTAGGCTTGTAATGTTCGTTGGGTTTTATAGATAGGGTTGCCAACCCTTACTAAATAACACTGTATCTTACTATGTTAGTTTAGGAACTGAAACAAAGAACTGTTTGCACAAAAAAGTAAAAGAAAGGATAGAAAAAAAGTTTTAAGTCTAAGTATAGAAAGGAAACTGTATGAGAGTGGTAGTATTGATAGATGTGATGACACTAAGGTTGTGTTCAAATATATTGGGATGGTGTATATATTTGAAAAGAACAGTAAAATATTAACTTAACTACGAGTATTTGTAATCGGCTAGATCAATTGATGAACAACTATGGTTGTGTTAAAGTTGAACGACAGACTACAGCAAAGAAAGGAATATAATAAGCATGGATTTTAAATGTTGTAATATATGTCGTATATGTAGAATGATTCATGTGATGTTTAGATAAATTATTAGAAACTATGCAATTTTAATATCAAAATTTTGCTAGTTATTGGAATGAAAGAATTAGGCTATCGGATATTATCTTAGCCAATGTTTAGGGCCCAAACTCTGGTTATGTTAATAAACCGATATGCATAATTGAAAGGAGATGGAATGAGATTGAATGAATATAAAAGTATCCGATACAGACAAAGATTTACGAAGATAATAAAAAAGATGACCATGAGAAATAAATGATGGAGAGATATGGGAACGTTCATCACTGGTATAGCATATAGTCCTCGAGCAGGGTATATTTCCGTGATTGGACGATGAAATCGGAGTAACGGGTACTAGGGAACAACACCTTCAGTACAAGTGATGTAACTGAGTTTACTCATATTAGTACTGTTAGGGAGCAGAGAAGTCTTAAATTTGTTACCCTTATTAATGGTACATTGAGGTCACATCCTTCGTTGGATCATGGTGCGAACTTAGTTTTCCTCTGTGACAATTGTTAGAGTCCTTTTAAAGTGACTTAAAAAACATAGACCTCAAGATTGTGCGCACAACCCAAGGTAAATTTTACCTTGATATAAAAAAAAAGTTTATGTACCAATAAAATGAAATGAATGTTACGAAAATGTAATATAATACCCAAATAAATGGGGGGCCCATATTTATAAAGTACCCGCACGATAAAAATCACGAAATAAAATATAAATGAAATGAATTAATACTCCGATTCCCGGTATCGAATAAATAAATAAACATATAAGTGAATAGAGAGAAAGAGAGCTAGCTAAAGGTCAATATTAGGAATAAATAAAGTACGTACAAGAATTATGGAAAAAGGGCCTATTAATCGACAAAAATACAGGATTATAAGGGAATTTCCGAGCAAATTAAAAAGTGTGATAAATGTATGATAATCTAATAGTGAGATAGGTAGTTATTTTGCATTAATGCTACCCAAAATGCGACTAACGAGTTACACATTTAATAACTATAGGGATCGATTTACACAATTACGCAAAATGTGTTGTGTGTGTGTATGTATTGTGCGCGTAATTGTTTAACCACATTTGTTTATGAATTTACGAATTTTTTTTTCATATTTAGACACATTAATTCACATTTACAATAATTCTGGTTGAATTTTCTATCATATGTTTTTTATATAAAATTTGTACATTTTAAACTATATTTGGTTTATATTTTGCTCATCAAGTAAAGTCCAGAGTATATCGATACAATATTATTATAAATTTATTAATGTAATAGTATTCTTTTTACGTTTTTCTTTATAAAAGACAACGGAACTTAAAATTATGTTATCTGGTTGAAATAAAATTGTTTATTTTTAATGTTAATAAAAATTTTGTAAAACAAACTTAAGCTGTGTACCTAGTAGTGTTTTCTTTTTTTTTATATATAAATTTCATGTCATGAAAAAATGAGTTTTCGAAATTATAAATAACTTAATTAATGATTTTTTTGTTAATGTACCTATGTAAAAGTATAACACTTTTACAAAATGAATTTAAAATTACATGTAGCAATCTATATATAGAGGTACAAACTATTGGGAAAGTTAATTTCATTTTATTTACGATATCATTTTAATGCATGGTTAAAACTAGGTACCATTATACAACGTAATCGAAAAAACGTTCCCATGAACATACTTAGAAATTAAAACAAAGGTGTCACAAACCGCTTACGCGGCTGAGATTGTAAGTTGTATTTGATCCCTGTTGTTATGATTAATTATTATGATTATGTTGCACTAGAACCGCCGTGAAACAAAACATGTAATATTAACCGACATGTAATATTTCGCCATATAACGGTCGCGTACCTATAAGCGAATGATAAACAATACAAAGAAAAGATTCTTTTGACCGGAGTTAGAGACTATATATACATAATTAGTAACGTTACCTAATTATGTAAATCGATGTGACAAGTGTTTGCTATATATATAAACACTTAAATAAATATATAAAGGAACCAATGGTTATAAGTTATAACCGATACGGGATATTCCGCTTTGATATAGTTTATTTAGATTTAGTAGGGCCCTTATGTAAGCATAGTGCTAGTAATGTTTGTAATACTCACACTACAGTGTGATTTAAATAAGTATGTTGAAGTTTATCTACTTAAAAATAAGGATACTTACTATTTTAATGGAATTGGTTATTTACCTTTAAAGTTTATTAAGGTTTAAATTTAAAAATATAGCTTAAGTTTAAGAAAATAATAATATTGTAAACAACCTTATATACGCCTTATAATATTTTTGATTACTTTATTTTTTTTTAAAAACTGTATTTTCAGTCTAGTGAATTAATAGTTATCTATAAAAATTTTAAATATTACTTATGCAGTTATGATAGGCGAACTAAAAGCAATTTAAAACAAAAACTATGATTAGGCTTAAATTTGATGATAGTTGAATAAATTTAAATAAAGAGATAGAAAGTTATTTTTTTTTAAATTACAGTGTTTACGATATTTTATTTTTATTTTATTATGTTATAAGTTTGATATAGGATAGGAATTTTAATATTTTTAAATAATTAATAATTTTTTTGAATCTTACACCAAGTTTTGTTTTATAGAAAAAAAAATTTGTAATTCATTTTTTTTTCTTTTTTGCCAATAGGCGTGTAGTGTGTGTTTAGTGTATGCTCATGTAGCTATATATATGATAGCCTAATAGACATTTAGAGTTAGTAATAAACCTACATTCAAGACCGCTAGACGTTTAATTTATTCCTCGAACCTCCCAACATTACAATACAGGTTAGCAACCGCAGTTTTGTATTATTTTGAGTTGATATCAGAAAGATGCTGTTACCCATCTCGTTTCTTCTCTCTCTCTCTCTCTCTCTCTCTGTCACCCACGGATATGGCGTACGGGTTCCCTCACGCCACTAAACAGCTGTTTTACATTAAATTGACTTTTTGACTCATTTTAGTACGTACAATATTTATATGTCTGTATTGTTTTTTTTATAGGAGAGGGCAAAAGAGCATACGGCTCACCTGATGGTAAGTGATTACCGCCGCCCGTGTTGGACAACACCAGGGGAATTGCAGATGCGTTGCGGGCCTTTTAAAAGGAGTAGGCCCTCTTTTCTTGAAGTTCCCTAAGTCGTATATAGTCGGTCAGAAAAAATATCTGAAACTAGTCGATTCCACAAGGAAGTTCTGCGAGGAAGAAAACTTCTTTTAAATCGTACGGTGGTGAATCGCCAGTCATCCAGATAGTATGGATGGTATCGGGAGTTTTTTTCACAAAATTGTGCGGCTGGAATTAGTCCGAACCATTCCTCAGAGCATTCACCGTGGTAAATGGGATAAAATCTGGCAGTGAATCAAGCCAATCGAAAAGAGCTCAATCGCCGACGATTCGAAGAACTCTGCGCTGGATGCAATCCATTGGATTTAACTTGAATTTAAATTGCTGTTGGGTTTTTTGGTATATGGTGGCGAAGTAGGACGTGATAGCACACCTTCTCGTACTATTGTCGTCATAAGTGTCAATTTTGTACTGTGTAGATAACGAGCCCCACATATAACAATAAATGGTGCTGCAATCGCAAATCGTATCAAGTGGAATTTACTTCATGCAACTGGAGACAAGCGTTCAAAATTATGATGTTAATGATTTGATCTGCTGCGTAGTACCGATTTATGAGAATGTATCACCCCATTTTTATTTATCGTGAGTGCTTAAACAGGCGACTATAGGTACGCCAGAAAAATTTTACGGCTTCCGATAGATGGCGGTATAATCAACCGACTAGCGTAACGTTGACTCCCATTCTAAGTGTTAAGGCTAACCCTTACAATGGGAGTCAATGTCAAGTAGTGGATTTGTAAGCGTTGGTGGAAAAAAGAAAACTCAGCTCATGAAGAATAAGAAAATATTTGCTTAGAAATACCTACCATGTATCCCCAACATTAGGCCGAGGCAGTAGTCTCTAGCGGCGTCGCTGCTAAGAAGTGTTGCCGGCAACTTATGCAGGTCAGCTGCATCGAGCAACGTCAGGCCAGCTGTGAAGCAAGCTTCCAATTCCGCAAGCACATTTTCTTGAAGGTCTCGATAATAGTATACTCTAGAAAAAGTAAAAAAGGTAATTTGTATCGGCTCATATACGTTCCTAGCTGGACACAGGCCTCCTATCATTTCTGAAAGAGTAAAGGTCACAGCTCATTAGAGCCACCCGGCACCCGCCCCTCACCGTCTCGCCTCGAGCGGTTGGTATTCTTCGTATGGACTTGTATGGGCCTGCGCTCACTGCAACAACTCCGTACCATCACCGGATCGCCTCACTCGCGAGGTGTCCACGTGCGGACTGCGAGTGCGATGCGGCGCTCTCCACCAACCCTTCATTTCGAGCCTTCCTTTCGAATGTGTCGGACGCATTGTTGTTTGTTTTTAAAATGAACAAAGAAAAACTTATAGAAGTTCGGAAGTATAATTTACTATATGATTTAATGATCGCTCGTTGATCACGCGAGGTCCGCTCGTTGACGACGCGAGGTCCACTCGATGACCACGCGAGGTTCACTGGTAACAACGCGGCGTCCACCCGTGGTCCACCTGTCGACTACGAGTAGACGCCTGGCGACGAGGCTGTGAGGGTCGGGTGCCGGGTGGTTCTAATGAGCCGTGACCCTTATGAAGCAGGTAGTCCACTGCACTGCTCTAGTTTTTGTTGGCAGACAACTTATGTCCACAAACGAGCGGGGATAAACTCGGGTTTGTTCGCGTTCTTGCAATTATTATACCCGGTAGAGCAACGCTGCAGCTATATTTAAGTTGTAGTACGAATGGGTAAGCTCAATCGAGGAAAGACAACGCTCTGTCAGAATACCAGCGTAAAATAGCAGCTTAATGTTGGTGTATTTTGCGAGTGTAGAGAACCGGAAAACAAGGCATTCCATCTTAGTCCTCAAGAATGATAGATGTAGATGTCTATAGGTCACCGCACCCACTTTCAGGTGTACTGTGTGCTCGTTGTTAACCCTTATTCTATTAAAAAAAATCCTGCAAGCGGTTAGCTCCCGAGTGGTAGAACTTATATCCGTTCGCTCCGCGCCGTTATAACCAACATTTCGCAACATCACAAATTGTGGCTTTTCAGATCATGTTGTGAATTGCCTGTGTCAGATTTTCAATATACTATATGTATATGTGTATATGTATTACATACTAAGTCCCTAATGGAGACACGCAAATTTGTTTATGTGTTAGAACAACGCGGAGTAAAAATATGTACCTAGCATATCATAGTCATTTTTTTATGGATAAAGGGACACAGCGGATTGTCTGCTGTGTCACTTTATCCATAAAATGATTATTTTGAACTGGCCAGAAGAGCCACTATAGCGCCGGAACCAATAATACCAATCCCCTTTGGTAACGTTCGTTCACTGATGTGTAGAAACTTCACTAATCAGCAAGCTCAGCTTTGAAAAATCTAATAGACTGTAAATAAGCTAGGGAGGCCCTGCCTGAAATAAGTGGCCCAAGTGTTGATGAACTGTTCGGAGTTCTCTGCTAACATAGCGAAGCATCTCGGCACGGCGGGATTACTCCCCGAAGTTGCTTGCAACATCAAAGGACTGTTGAACTTCTTCGGGGAGATTGCATGGCTTTTTCATTGCCCACAAGCAAAATACGCGCTTAGACGTGGAGTTGCGGAAAACAGCCCGTCGTAAAATTCTAACTAACTATCATAGTCATTTATGGCCTTCGTGGGTAAAACATAGGGTGGTTTAAGGATTTACGGTATAATATCATATAATTTACGGTATATATCATTTGGGCACAGCAATACAGAAAAAACCAACATGAATTCCACAGAAAATAAATGGTTATAGCTAAAATTATTTAATATTATTTATATAGCAAATATAATATATAATTAAATAAAATTTAATAAGATTTGAAGTAGCGTAGCAGACGTTTACATATTTTAGTTTTCTTCATCGCACAACTACCTTGTGGAATCAGATCCTACCGGCTTTTTTGCCGGACCGATACGACTTAGGGACCTTCTAGAAAAGAGCCTACTCTTTTACATTTACCATCAGGTGAACTGTATACTTGTTTGCCCCCTCTTCTATATAAAAAAAATCGGCGTGAGGCTGTGTCGTGGACACAGCTGTGTGCTTTACGTTAATACATATGTGTACGTAATGACAAAATTTATACTAATCGGAAAATATGTGACGCATTGAAACGATCTCAATATAGCGGCACTCCCCTCTTCGCTGCGTGCTATGCGTCACTGTCCTCACTCAACGTGACGAATTCTTCAATCCTAAAACTATCGAGTGGTGTAATCAACTTTGAATGTAGATTTTTTTATAATGATTTCTTAAATTTACGCGAACACTACACATTGAATAAAACTATTATTTACGGATTTTATCGCGTTTAATTACTTTAATTTATTTTTATTATTATCCCGACGTTTCGGGTGCTTTACAGCGCCCATGGTCACGGGGGGGACTGAGATGTTTGACGTCCCAATGTCATAGTTAGTCCGGCTACCTTCAGTTTTTTAATATTAATTTTTGGTCCGATTTATTATACCATAAATTAATATTAAAAAAACTGAAGGTAGCCGGACTAACTATGACATTGGGACGTCAAACATCTCAATCCCCCCCCGTGACCATGGGCGCTGTAAAGCACCCGAAACGTCGGGATAATAATAAAAATAAATTAAAGTAATTAAACGCGATAAAATCCGTAAATAATAGTTTTATTCAATGTGTAGATTTTTTTTTCAAAGGATACGGGTGGCAAACGTGCACACAGCCCACTTGATGGTAAGTAGATGCTGAAATCTACAATATCGATTAAGAAAAAAAATGCAGATGAGTTATCACCCCTGAGAACAACGATGGAATGCTTCATTTCCAGTAAAGAGTGTCTCCAGTTCCCAACACTCACCATACGAAACAGAGTAGCATTGAAGTGCTATTTTACTCTGGTATTGTGTGAAGCGTTCAACATCACGTCTATTGTTAACATTTGATTGTAATAAAGATTATAATTATGAGCGTGGTCCGCCCCGGTCGAGCCGACCTACTCGTGCTATAACTGTAATATAGTTTTATTAAATGCCATTATGGACACTAATTTAAAGACATATTTGTGTTCAAAGTTACATAATTAACAAAATATTAATTTATATTATAATAATATTTAAGTATCCAGGAGCCGCGGTAGCTATAAATATAACAGAACGCAAGTAACCCGGGTTCGATCCCCGCCGGCACCAATGAAATTGTTAATTGCAATTTTAAGTGCTGATTTACCACGTGCTCGGCGGTGAAGGAAAACATCGTGAGGAAACCTGCATGTCTGAGGAATAAGAAAAAAATATTTTGAAGACATGTGAAGTTCGCCAACACGGATTGAGACAGCGCGGCGGACACTTCCTTGTCCTAAAACCCTCTCAGAAATAAGGGGGGAGGCCTGTGCCCAGCAGTGGGACGTATATAGGCTGTAACTTTACTTTTTACTTTTATCCATCCATTTATTCTTTACAGCCTATAAAAGTCCATTCCTGAACACAGGCCTCTCCCATAGATCGCCTTCTCGTTCTCGGGAGGATTTATGCCATAGTTGAAGTTTTTAATGATTTTAAGTTATCATTAGAATAAAATCTGCTCGTCTTCTGTTTTAATTTCCCTCTGCTGCCTCTTACGACACTCACGTGAAGATATGAGGTAGTAGGTATTTTTTAACCTCCATTACACGGAATGGTAACTTGTCGAAATACTCAAACGCCACTCAATATTAATATGCCGTTAAATCTCGTGCTGTCTCTTTCACTTTAAGATAAATTGAACTTGACACCACGAGCCTTTAGGACGTCTTAAAATTGAGTAACGTACCACCAACGAATACGTAACCACTTGAGTATTTGGCCAAATATATTGTTAATTAGGTGATAACCTGGAGTGCAGGTGCAGCGCAGCGAGCGCCCGTAGCGCTGCGGCCGCGAGAGCCCGCAGCGCGCGCTGCAGCCGCGCGTACTGAGCATGCGCACACGCCGCGCGCCGCAACACGTCTACGAGCGCGCGCACCCCGCATGCCGCCTTTACCACGCCGTGCCCGCCAGATGTGTCACCCCACTCCTGCTCTTGAGTACTCCTTATATCCTATTATTATTATTATTTATTATCGCATATATATATATTCAAACACTAAAAAATATTCAAACGCTACTCAATTTTAAGATGTCCTAAGTCTCGTGGTGTCACAGTCACTTTAACTTAAAGTGATAGTGACGGCATCTTAAAATTAAGTATTTGGCGTTTAAGTATTTTCCCAATAGTATCACAATATTATAATTTTATAAACACAATTAATATAAATAATATTAGTATTTCGACTATTATCCAAAGCGACAACCCTAAGTCATCGGTTAAGTTGAGACATCCAAAGATAGGACATCACATCTTCTAACTATCGAGCTATATTTAAAAAGGCCGCTTTTTGAATTAATCCTTTCAGCTATTTATCAAAGCCTAACTTGAACATATAATCATCCATATTTTACTGATAACCATTGACTAATACAAATATTGGTACAATAATAATAGAATCAACGTTCCACATAACTACAGTTTCCTGTGCACAATAGAAATATTTTTTTTATCCATCCCTCCCTTCACAAGATTCTCGTCATGAGGAACACTGAAATTCATTATTATCACCATACATGCAGTTCAGTCATTATTGTTGGTTGGTGGGCTCCAACGATTTTTATAAAATTTAGTGTCCAGGGAATTTCGGGGACAATAAATCGATCTAGCTAGGATTTATTTTTAGAAAATCTTTTTGTCCGTGTTTTCAGGCAATGAAAAACTGCTTCAATATAAGAAGGTAAATTTTGACACTGTGTTAATGATCGTAATAGCTCAAGTGGATATCGAGCGGTCGCGAAACCGTAATGCCTTGATTCGCGTCCTGTCTTCGGTTCAAATTATTTTCCTTTTTTTCAAGTTCTTTTGTGAGAAAAGCTATTATTTCGAGCCCTTTTTTAACATTTTTTAAAAATACGAAAATTTTAATAAAACGAATTGCACTCATGATTTCTTATTCAAATAACCAGTTCAGTTTTTTCTATTATGTCAATAAGTTCAAAAAATATTATTTACATTTCATCAGTATGTAATTTGTATCTAAATGTAATTTCAAAAAAAAAAACGAGCAAAGCTCGGTCATCCGGGTACTGTATATTTAATACACTAACATAATAAATAAATTATACATAGACAAATAAAAGCCCAACCAAATAGAAGCTCTTGGCAGGGGAAACCAAACCGCCGAGGGTTAGGTAGAAAGGGAAAGAAACCGGCGGATGATGCTCCGTACGATGCGTGCGGTATCGTGGAGAAAGCCTTCTGCATTTGACTCCGGAGCGGTCCGTCACGGAGTCCCAGTCGCTTCAGATGACGAGAAACTGAGCGGGATTAGCCCGGCCGTAGAAACGACTACAGGAATAATATCAGTCAGCAGACCAACCCACATGCCGGTCACCACGTGAGTCAGGTCATGATATTTTTTTGCTTATCTGTTTCGGTTTTTACGAGGTTCTCGTCATACGGAATGGTAATGCTGAGCAAAAATATTCTTGACTGTGCCCGGTCCATCAGCACAATGTCAGGCTTATTCGCAGGAATAGCCCTGTCTGTGATAATGACCCAGTCCCATAAGCCTAGCGCGATCATTTTCGAGCACGGCTTCCGGCAAGTACTTATAATAAGGCAGTTTACGATCCACGAGACCGTATTTCAGAGCGAGCTCCTGGTATAAAATCCTGGCTACCAGGCTGTGCCTGTGCAAGTACTCAGAGTTAGAAAGCGCCGGACCACCAGAGATGACATACCTAAACGTCTGACCGGGATGGCGACAAGCTCGACAGATATCGACGATGCCATTCCTTAGGATGTATCTCCGATAGTTGTTGGTCTTAATAGCCTAGTCTTGTATCGCGCTGACAAAACCTTACCAAGTTGATAGAGCTTGAGACCTTTGTCGAGCTCTTTCTCCTTCCATACGGTCTCCCGGTCGAAAATTTTCTGTACTGCCGGGTCCTGCCATTGATCGTTAGCTATAAGGATAGAGGGCCTCTTATTACAAGAAATGAAGACCTTATAGAATCGATCATCCGATCTCGTCAAGAATTAATTACGGAGGTTCCACACTTTGCGATTTTGCATGGTGAGCGCGCTCAATAAGACACGCCCATGGTTTCGCGGTAAGTACAGCCTCATTACGGACGATATCGGATGATGTATTCTATGGGACGTCATGGTAGTGCGAACTTTTCTATCCAGAGCGTTCAATTCGGTCTGAGTCCACCTGAGTATACCAAAGATATATATGAGGATAGGCATGACTGTTATATGCGAGTGTCTTATTAACGACCGACAAAAGACTGTTAAGCATTTTTATATAGCTTGCACAAAACACACCGCAAACTGACTGTTTCATGTCTGTACCATTGATACCTATTCTGTGACATACACAGGTATCGGTATATTTCACCCTCGGAAAGGGTCCTTATGCTTATAGGTAAGTCTATGCCTTCAGAGCTAGCAAACCTACCCCTTTCGACATGGAGGAGCGCACACTTATCCGCCCCCAACTTCATTCTAATAGAACCGCTAAATCACATTTGATGTTTAGAAATTCCATATAATGGGAGCGCCTAGAGGCGAATAACTTGAGATCATCCATGTAAAAAAGGTTCCCCAAAGGAGAACCTACCTTTCAAAGATGAAATATCCTCCCGGAGCCCTCTAGTAAGGTACTGAGCGTTCATGGAGAGGCACAACCAAATTGAATCGCTAGGAAGATATCTTGTTGGTATTCCTTCTTATCCTTAAGCGGCTGTCCGCAGCCGTCACCCGCTCACCGAGATGACAAAGGATGGTACTTCACTGCCCCATACGCTGCTCGAGGAAGTTTCTTACTGTGTAGTCTACCTTGTACAGCCCGAGGACCCTCTTCAGCCATGTACGAGGTACCGAGAGGATGAATGCTTTCCTATAGTCTATCCAAGCAGCGGAGAAGTTCCGACCATAGAATACTATAATACATACATAATAGAACGGGGGAGTCAACTCGAGATGTGTTTTACTTACAATGTTTAAATTTCGCAAGCAAATTATTTAGAAATGCCAAATTGCACCCTATTTATAATTTTAAAATTTAAACGATTTTTTTTAATAATAATCTTGAACATTAATCAAAAGTCTAAAATGTGTGAATTTACTCAGTCTGAAGACTATCAACACAGTGAATCGGGTTTGGCGACGCCAATCCTCGTATAAAATAAAGTTGACAGCCATTCTATTGTGTATTATAGTATTTTATGGTTCCGACAGTTGCGTTTAACTACCTTGCCGATGACAGCGTCAATGAGGAGTGGTTCTTTGGTTCCACGACACATCACCTGATTTGAGTTCAGGTGACGAGTGATTCTCGCGCTCAAAATGGATGTTAGTGTCTTGTATATGGTAGGTAGACACGTAATGAGGCGGTGTTTCCATGGGTCTGATTCCAGTAGTGAAGAGCCTCGGGAGCGATTTCTGGTCGAGAGCCTCTTGAAAACTGTCGGGCGAGCACAGGGTCACAGACCACGGACCCCTTCAGCCAGTAGTGATGCAGTCCGTCGAGCCACGGACTTTTCCAATTCGGGGCCCTTCGGACTGCCTCAGCTACGTCATCCGACGTTATGATGACAGGGTTCGTGGGCATAACATTTTAGCATGCATTGATTTTATACTGATCCTGTTTTTTGTGTGTAATTGACAGTGAAAAATCACCCGTAACAGTGTAGGTAATATATAACCTCAGTTTTACTTATTCTAAAGTAACTCAGCTCCTAGACTAACAATTCTTGCCTGATTTTTAGATATGAGATGATTTATATATAATCTTTCAAATAGTCACAATTTCATCTTGTTAACATCTTGGCTCAAGAACCTATGGAGACATCTCCTTCTCCTTTAATTTATACAAATTTACTATTTTTTAAATACGGAAATTTTTTCATAAATTATTTTTAATGTTCTAGTAGTATTTAAATATAAGAGGCACTTCTCCAATGAAATATTCAGTAGATAATGAATTGAACTACTATGATTTTATATATGGTAGAACCATGCTGCAGTTATATTGGTAATATAGTTGTAGTACGAATGGGTCGGCTCAACCGGGGAAGGACCACGCTCTCACAGCATACCAGCTTAAAATAGTAGATTAATGCTGCTGTGTTTCGTATGGTGAGTGTAGAGAACCGGAGACCCTTTTTACTGGAAACTAGGCATTCCATCTTAGTCCTCACGGGTCACAGCGCATCTACATTTTGATTCGTAATCGAGGATAGATGTAGATATCTATGGGCCACAGCAACCATTTACCATCAGGTGGACTGTGTGCTTGTTTGTCAGCCTATCCTATAAAAAATGACTTACGGATCTGGTGAAGAGCACTAGCTTCGCCAACAGCTGGCGTAAAGGCAAGGTCCTCAGCAAGGCGAGCGCGTCCCGCTCCCGCAACCGGCCCTCGCGCACCGCACTCCCCTCCCCGTGCCTGCCCACCTCCTCCCACACTTCCTCCAAATCTGTCCATTCATTTTTAATTTATTTACAGCATATCTATCAAAATCCAGCGTTGAACATAGGCCTAGGTCGTCTCGACCGGGAAAGGACGCTGTCACAGAAAACCAGCGTGAAATATAGCAGCTTAATGCTGCTGGAGTTTCGTATGAGTGTAGAGTAACGGAGACCCTTTTTACAAGTATCGAGGCATTCTATCCTAGTCCTCAGGGGTGAAAACACATTTACATCGTGATTCTTATTCCAGAATAGATGTAGATGTCTGTAGGTTTCAGCATTTACCATCAGGTGGACTGCGTGCTGGTTTGTCACCGTAATTCTATGATCACAAGTCCACTGCTGAACATAGGCCAAGAAGTGGCACCAAACACGGTCTTTAGCCATCTTTATTCATCAAATTCCTTTGACTTCCTCCCCTCAACAATGAGTGTACTACAATCAAATGGCAGAAACTGGTAGAAGTGGTACCAACCCAGATGAGTTTCTAGGCGCAAAATTCCTGCTACTCAAAAGATTTCACTTATTTACTACATTTTACATAGCAATCCTTACTTTTGTTTATAATTATAACTAATTATTGATAATATTCTAAGTTTTAATCTAATTCTTACTAATTTAGTAATATGACTTACACTTTACGTGATAGGGCCATGTTACAGCTATATTACGGTTGTAGCACGAATGGGTCGGCTCGACTGGGAAGGACCACGCTCTCACAGAATACCGGCGTAAAACAGCAGCTTAATTTTGCTGTGCTTCGTATGGTGAGTGTAGAGATCCGGAGACTCTTTTTACTGGAAACGAGGCATTCCATTGTAGTCCTCAGGGGTGACAACGCATCTGCATTTTGATTCTTAATCGAAGATAAATGTCTATGGGCCACAGCATCCACTTACCAAAGGTGTTGGTAGGTATTATTATTGCACAACCTCACCTTCAGTGCACTCTACAGCAGTCTCCAAGCCAGGCCTGGCCAATATCAGCTCGAGCAAGGCTATGATGCGCGCCGCTGAGCAGAGGTCGGTCACTTGTACGCGTATAACTTGCGCCGCCCAATGTACTGACCGCGTTTGTCTAAGGAAAAAATCCTTGTTAACTGAATATAAGTAAATACTATACTTGAATATCTAAGAACCCAGTAAGAAATATTTCTACAGACTGTATAATCTTAATATATATAAATTACGTGTCACGTTGTTTGTCCGGGATGGACTCCTAAACTGCTTAACCGATTTTAATCAAATTTCCACACCGTGTGCAGTTTGATCCAATTTGAGAGATAGGATAGTTTTTTTGCCCATGAGTGAACAACATTTTTTTTTACGAATTTAAGAATTTTTAATAGGACATGACAAAGGGTCGTCGAAAAAGGCAGAACAACGTCTGCCTGGCAAGCTAGTATATTATAATATTAAACAAATTAGCTTGTATATTATAAAATTAAAATCCCATGCAGTCGCATGCGTCCGTCAAATCCCGAGCGGTCGCATGCGATCGCACCCACCCACTGCACTTTAAACCATTAAAACTTATATTTAGAGGCTACTTTTCGATGAAGAAGCAATTAATAAGACATGATACATATACATGACCATAAGTATTTATGGGTTAAAGTGCTGTGGGTGAGTGCGGCCGAATTTGGCCACTTGGTATTTGACGGAATATCGCCGCGACCGAATTCGGCTGCTTGGTAGCTAAGAGGTTAAATGCACTTTAAATTGTCTTATATTTGCCTGCCGTTTTAAGTTTACAAGTGCACTGCTGAACATAGGGTATCCACATAGATTTCCACAAAGTGTGTAAATTGAAAGGATGCAGGTTTTTCATGATCTTCTATAGCCACCTGCATCCATCCACTCGCAGTGGAAAATCTCACAATGTTGTTCTTGCCAGAAGTGATAATTGAAAAATACTAAATCAATCGAATTATGAATAAATAAATACCTAAATAGATGCTGAATGAGAAAGATCAGCTGTCTTAAATCCTGTCCGTGAAGAAGCGATGCAGACAACGCGACCGCCCAGCGTTGTAGTGCGCTCGAATACGCTTCCGAAGTACTGTCGCTCAACCGTAGAGCTTGCAGGATAAGCGATAGTGCTTCACGAATTTCACCCTTATTGCTTCGCATAGTTTCGTATACCAACTCTTCTATCTAAAAATACATTTAAAAATGTTTAGTATATTTTTATTGAATTTAAAGCTATAGGTTATATATTACCAATATATGACCTAATGTAAGCAAAAGCAGTTTGTCCGCCGGGCATTAAATTCAGAATGCAACATGCATATATTTGTACTAATTATTGTCGTTTTACAAAATAAACCTTTGATATTTCTTTTTAATTTTTTTTATAATTTTAAATATTTTTTTAAATTACGTTAATTATATGGTTTGTTGTTTATCAGTGTAAAAATGTAAATTACTATTTTTAGTTAAATTTCAATACAAAGATGTTTCCAAGTCGATTATTATGTGAGATATATACGGCTAAATAAAACGGCCGGAATAACCTGCCTTATACCTATACTATGTAATAAAACGGAATAAATTAAGTTTTAGTACAAGAACAGAAGGATCACTCTCTGATAGCTAACTTATGTGTTTAAGCCCAATTACAACGTGGCTAATGTTAATAATAACTTTGCACGCCTCGGAAGCGACCTTCGCGAAATTATCCTACTGATTAATTAGTCTAACAAAAACGCCGTACCTGCGTACCTGTAGGATCAGGTGTTGTGAGAAAAAGTTGGTAGTAGAATACACAGAGGTGTTACGCAATGTATGCAATGTGCTAGTAATTTCCTGATAATAAGAACACTAAATTTCAATGTGATGAAGGTTAATATGCAACATCAAGAAAAATAAGATTATAACCATGTGAACGTCTTTGAAACTCAAATAATTTACCTACTTACCATTTTCTGTTTCACTTTTTTTTCTGCTATTTACAATCATGCGACACGCGACGGCATTGTTAATGAAACAGTGGCAATGGGAAGTTTTTTTTATAGGATAGGGTGACAAACGAGCACACAGTCCACCTGATGGTAAGTGGTTGCTGCGGCCCAAAGACATCTACATCTATCCTCGATTACCAATCAAAATGCAGATGCGTTGTCACCCGTGAGGACTAAGATGGAATGCCTCGTTTCCATTAAAAAGGGTCTCCGGTTCTTTACACTCACCATACGAAACACATCACGAACACAGCAGCATTAAGCTACTATTTTACGCTGGTATTTTGCGAGAGCATGGTCCATCCCCAGTAGAGCCGACCCATCCGTGCTACAACTATACTACTAATATAACTGCAGCATAGCTCTGCCACGTATAAAGTGTTACTAATTTCAATGACTTTCTTTTATCGACCGAGTGTTTAACCCAGTATATCCTGATCTTGCATCAGTAGGCAGTAACTAGTACTGGAAAATCTTATACTGAACGATTATATAAGGTCATTGACATTATACGCGAAAAATCAAATAATATCGTGTCATATAATCGTCAAATAATAAATCTCTGTCTGTGGAGCCAGTAACTTAGGTTAATTATTTAATATACGTAGGTATATGTTCATGCCTAAGGCGCGGACTGAGACAGGCTGGTAACAATAAATGATTGATAGGACTGTATCTCCTAAATACAGATTACTAAGTAACCTAGCTAGGAGATACAGGATTCTACCCATTTTTAATTGGTTCTCATGATGTATTTAATTATATTTGTAAAAAGTATGTAAGATATAAAAGTCAATAAAGAATTTATATTAATATTATATATAACAACTGAGGAATAGTAACTTACATTGACACAGTGAGATAGAACAGCCCATCTGAACTGTAAGTGGTTTCTGTGGCCCACAAATCTTTAATCTAATTAAATTCCTAAATATTTTTTCCGTATACAATTTCTAGAAAGAATTCAAGCGCGCATACTTCCATAGGAATATATCCGAAGTAAAAATAAATATAATCTTATATAGATTACATATATTTATTTTTACTTCATATTTTTGTCATTTTTTAACTTCTCTATAGTTTTAATATTAAAAATCAAATTGGTTATTTAAGTTGAATGGAAAAAAAATAAGCAAGTTGTGAATGAACAATTCGGTGATTGTAATTTTCGCATTACAATTTAGTCAAAAGTCTACCACTTCAGGCAACCTCACGTACCTCAGAGAGTATGCGTTCCACTAATCTGAAAACACTGCCTTAATCCATTTTAAATGAAGGATTAAAAAGATAAACTTTACAGATACCAACCTGCCAATATGCTAATAGGGCCGTGTGTTGGTGATGGCAGTAGGAATCTTGCACCTCACGAGACAGGGCCTCTAATCGCATGCGAGCAGCTGGTAACTTCTCCTTCAGCAATTCGGCATGATCAAAAGTAGCCTGCAAGCTGACTGTATTACCACAGGGACATTTTTCTGATAGATAGACTTTGCGTTTCTCTACTTTCCATAATAACAATCTAGATTTTTCTTCTTCAATAAATCCTTTGCTTATTGTAGTTCTGCTACGGTCAACAGCATTCAAGGATGATCTGCACAAAGTTTATAGATTAAATAATTGCATGATATGTATAAGTAAAATAGTTTTTTGTTTATCTCTTCTCTCCGCATTTTTTATTATTTGAGCTCATAACAGGAAGATACTGCTGCCCAAGCCAAGTCTCAGTTTCCCTCTGTCACCTCTTATAGACACCCACGGGATCATATTATAGGGTAATGGGTTCTCTAACGCCACCATTGTATGGCACTTTTATGAAAAAAAATCATTCCTCAACATATAAACCTTCCAATAATAATGGCCTCAGACCGAATTTCGGTCACAGCAGAAAGTCTAAACGCAGACTAAACATCTGCGCAGGACAGGATTATAATTAGTGCCCGATTGTATGCGCAAGTACAGATTTACTCCCTAAGTAACTCGGAAAGTGTGAGAGTGAGATTATATCTCACTCTCACACTTTCCGAGTTACTGTTTTAAACATCGCCAACTTCCTGACTCTGACTTGCTACTGAGAATTTCTTGACTTTCTGTCAGTTCAAAAACTGATTTTTAATGACTCTACCTGGGATTCGAATCCGGCATTTTATACTAGCTGCAGCTATATTATGATTGTGGCACCAATGGGTCTGTTCGACTGAGGAAGAACCACGCTCTCACAGAATACCAGCGTAAAATAGCAGCTTAATACTGCTGTGTTTCATATGGTGAGTGTAGAGATCTGGAGACCCTTTTTTACTACATTTTGATTCTTAATCGATGATAAATGTAGATGTCTATGGGCAACAGCATCCACTTTAGTAAGTAACTAGCATACAGTCTACCTGGTAGTCCAGGTAGACTGTATGCTAGTTTGTCACCCTTATTCAATTCAAGCCGCAGTCATCTATACAACCATTTGATCAACAAGGTAGTCAACTGACTTCTTCCAATATTGCTGCATAACATTACATTATACTTTTATTCATGTAGTTAAGGAATTAAAGTTAATCCTGTACTCTAGAAAATCCGATATCCGATATGTAGAATCAGACTGCAGCATTAATGGGTCGGCTTGACCTGGGTTTGGACCACGTTCTCACAGAATACAAGCATAAAATAGCTGCATGATGATGCTGAGCTTTGTATGGTGAATGTACAGAACTGGAAGCCCTTACTGATAATGAGGCATTCTATCTTAGTCCTCAGGGGTGGCAAATGGCAGTGCATCGGAATTTTGTTTCTTAATCAAATATATTTTTATTAAACTGAAATGACAAACAATCTTACAGTCCACCTGATGGTAAGTAGCTACTTCAGTCCATGGAGACCTGTAGCGAATTTTATATGAAGAAGGCCACAGATGCATTGTCACTCCTGAGGACTAAGATGGAAAGTCTCACAGCCTGTAATTATACAGGCTCTCTATATCCTCCAGACCGGAACCCAAAAATGCAAACACTGCTATTTGGTGGTAGGTAGATATAGGAAAGATACGTGGTACCTAACACATGATAATAATATATTTTTATACTAGCGTAGATATAGGGTGCCACAACATCTTTGCTTTACTTCAGGTGGACTGTGTGCTTTTTTCTCACTCTTACTGTAAAAGAAATAGAAAATAAAAAGAAGAAGAATGAATAAATATAGAAGAAGAAAAAGAGTATTTAAAATTATACATGAAAATGCGTTGCTTTAGTTTTTTATATCATTAGCTTCGATCTAGATTCATCATCATCATTACAGCCCTTCACAAGTCCACTGCCGAACATAGGCCTCCCTCAAGTAATGCCACAAAGCAGGGTCCTGAGCCACCTGCATCCATCGACTTCCTGCATATCTTACTAGGTCGTCACTCCATCTAGTGGAGGGTCGCCCTACACTACACCTACCGGTACGAGGCTGCCACTCGAGAACCTTTCTTCCCCATCGGTTATCGGTTCTTCGAACTATATGGCCGGCCCATTGCCACTTCAGCTTACTAATCCGTTGGGCTATGTCGGTCACTCTGGTTTTACTGCGGATATCCTCATTACTGAGTCTATCACGCAGAGAAACTCCGAGCATAGCCCTCTCCATAGCTCGCTGAGCGACCTTGAGCGTCCTCATATGGCCAGCAGTGAAGGACCACGTCTCAGATCCGTAAGTCATCACTGGCAACACGCACTGGTTGTACAATCTAGTTTTAGAGATTGTATACCTGACGAGAAGATATGTTGTAATTTCCCGAACGTTGCCCTAGCTTTTAGCTTCGATCTAGATTGGATGATTAAAATAGTCAAAACTATCATATAATTCAATTTCAAAGAAATTTAAATTGCATACACCAGAGAAATCGTAATAAGACAATAGAAGTCGCGTGATCTTGTCGCCGCTGTCATGTGTTGAAGAACATAATTCACCATTTTGTGATTTAGTTGCGCGGGGAATGTCGTACGTGAATTTATGTTATAAATTTATAATGGTGAACTGCAGCATAATCAGTTGTAAAACTCATCAAGGACATGTAATTCAACTAATAGAGCCATTTCATGTTATGCCATTTCATCGGTAAGTTGATTATTTACTTAATCTTCTCTTAATTCTTTTAATTATCATTGTTTTAACTAATTTACATCTAGATAAATACTTTACTATATTTGCCTTTTTAAACTTTCGTTTATTACTTTTCTTATTGTATAATTACCATTGCTGCATTTGTTTTGATGTGAAACATAAGATATCATTGTGCATTGTGCATATGTTTATAATACGGTAAGATGTGGCGACATTGGTTTTGAAAGTAATCGAGCGTTAATTCATTTCTATTGTCTTATTACTATTTCTGTGCATACAATAGTTACTAATGATAAAATCAGCATACCTGAATGTTGACAATAAATCTACAAGGGGATGTTCTGGTCCACTAACAGGTCCAGCTTCCACAATGGCCTCTTCTTTTTCACTAATAGTTCTTACTTCAGTGATCTCTTTCCCTCCAAAAATTCTAACAGCCTCTTCTAAAGGCATGCATTCTACTTTAGTTTTAAGTTCCGGAATAACTATTTCTGGCTCCACATTTTGTAAAGTAACAAATGTAACTGTTTCTTCTTCAAAGATGGGTGCTGATGGAAGAGCATCTTGGTGTTCTATTTCACAAGAATTAGCACTATTGATTGATTCCTTAGCAATTTCAATTTGGCTAATATCATTTTCAATGTTGACTTCATTAACATTTGTTACAACTTTTTCATATTGTCCGTCAATTACCTTAGTATAGCTTGTTTTATCTGGATCTTCCTTAATTTCTAATTCTGATTGCTTGTGCCTTGATTGATTTTGTTCTTGAATATATTTATCAAGAGAAGTTGATCTAGAATCTTCCTCACCAGATAGGTTTTTTTCAGTATCATATTCTGAATTAACAGTAGTATCTTTTTGAGCACTACATTCAATGTCTTCTAAAGTAGATTCATGTTTCTCTGCTAACTTTACATCTTCTTCCAATTTGTGTTTTATAAGATTTTTATGTGTTGATTTGTCTTTCGTTTTCTTTTTCTGAAATAATGAATAACTTTTTAATTTGTTACTTTAAACTATGAAACATTGTGATAGTTATTTTTTTTTTATTTAGTGTCAATTATCATCATGTTTTAACATTGTCCTGTAGATATCATAATATTTGATTATGGGAAATATCAGAATGATCTCCCAGCCTCCAACTACTAAGCAGTAGTGTCAACATAAGAAGTAGAGTATTATCATTGGTTTCTAATGGTTAAAATAATGTTGGTGTAAGGCCGGATGAACATATTAAGAAATGTTGTGTAGAAAATATGTAACATATGCCACACACTATACTTAGATATTGTACTAGACACACATTATGGATCGACCATCTGTTTTCCAACACTTGCCAGGCATATGCAAACCAGATGCCAGAAATTTGCTTTTCAGAATGTAGGAAGGCGTGTTAGCCACACATTTTGTATTTGTAATACATTTCCTTTGCTCATGAAAAGACATTACTGCTGTACATACAGCATTTTCGGATTGAGATTTTCGTGTTTTCATCATTTATATTTTTGACAGCTTTATTTTCCAATAAAGATTCGAATAAATTAATGACTAAAATTGTTTAATATACAAGTTTTCTAATCAAAACATGTTTTAGAACATCTCAATAGTGGTATTTTTTATAGGATAGGATGACAAACGAGCACACAGTCCACCTAACGGTAAGTGGTTGCTGTGGCCCATAGACATCTACATCTATCCTCAATTATGAATCAAAAGGCAGATGCGTTGTCATCCGTGAGGACTTTATACCTAATTTCCAGTAAAAAGGGTCTAAAGTTCTCTACACTCACCATACGAAACACAGCAGCATTAAGTTACTATTTGACGCTGGTATTCTGTGAGAGTGTGGTCCTTCCCTGGTCGAGCCGATCCATTCATGTTACAACTATACTACTAATATAACTGCAGCATGTCTCTACCATGCAAAAAGTGTAATTGCTCTATTTTGTGTGAAAAACTAATGCATGAATTCACCTTTGTAGCATTTTTTTGATTTGAGTATAATAAAGAATTTTCTATCTATAGTGCAACCTCTATATAACAAATCGGAAGGGAATAAGTAAATATTTGTTATATCAAGTAATTCGTTGAACTGAGGTTTGTTATGTTGAGGTTAGGTTGGTCTAAAATTTGTTGTAAAGAGGTAAAAAATAATGTTATTCACAACTTTTACTAATAAACTTTATATAAAGGTTTTGGGTTGACAAAATTTGTTAATTAGAGGTATTTCTTGATAGTTAAAATTCGTTATAAAGATGTTATTCGCAAGAAATCCTCGCAATGTATCTTAATACTTTCATAGTCAATTTCGATGTATGTCGAGTAATTAAAAATAACAATGAATGCGTAAAAACTAACAAAGAAACAATTTTAACAATACTACGTACTTCTGACCGCTTTTCCTTGATCATAGTCGCCATGATAGTATCAAGAAATCTATAATAATTAAAATAATATATATTGGCGTACTATTTTGAATTTTTTAAACCCCATTTCTTGAATTCACAAACAAAACAAGAGTAAATAAAAGGACGCAATAGGTACACTACATTGTTTATAAAATCAGCTGTACTATATTCTACCAGCTGTCAACTGTCAATGTCAAGTGCACAGACTACTAACTAAGAAGTGGTCAACAATGAGGGATAATAATTTTGTATTCACCAGTGCCCTGTTTATCAAAATTTACAAGCCTTGTATTACAAGCAAATTTCTTAATTAATTCTTAGTTAGGTCATTATTTATTTCACAAGTATATTTTTACACGTATATTCGTGATTTTGTTTATCACAAATCCCTTGTAAGTTACAATTTGTAGGAAATCATATCAAATCCAAAGAGTGTCCAGCGACTTTCCATTCAGTCTTACATGTGTTTTAAGTAGTACTGTAATATTTTTTTTAACTTTATTGTTCTTTTAAAAATGTAGTCAAGTGACTCAAGCGATGATGAAATTATTAGAATAATGTAACCAAAAACACATAGAACAAGAATTGACTAAGGTCATATGGAGACGACCTATGAATTTAATGGAAGGTTTCGACTAAAGCACTTTTTGTCGCGAATCAGTTATAAAATCGTTATTTTATTATCATTTCTAGACGTTTTACAAGAAATCGCAAAATATCGCCGCGAATACACTTCGAATTATATATAAAAGGCAAAACCTTTGTACAAACTTACGATAAGACTGCTTCTGTATCTTGATGTCTGTACATAGCTTGCTACATATTTATTTATCTATGGTGTACATAAATAAATTTAAAAAAATACCTTGTCGCTACCGTCGCTACTACCTGTGCTACTATTATTTTAATGTCTCATCAAAATTAGGCACAGACGATATACCATACAGCCATGCGTTTAAATAAGGATATTCAATAAAAAGCAAAAACATAATGGCGGGAAAAGAATACGGCACACATTTTTGATTTTAGAACTTACAAGTAGAACCTAACTTGTAAAATTGAACCAAGTGTTCAATTTTACAAGCCCTGTAGATTTTTTTGATAAACGTAATTTACTCGAACTTGTAAAAACTTTCTTGTAAAGTGTAACTTGTGAACAAGTAGCCTTGTGAGTTTTAATAAACAGGGCACAGGTGACGCTAATTGCGACTAAGCACTGAGGTGAATTTATTTGTTACACAGCGACAAATACTCGTTTTTTTTCAGTTTCTAGCTTTGAGGTTTCCAAATGTAAACATTTGCAACGTTTAGATACTCGCCGAGCACAAACGAATAAGCACGCATAAAAGTCTTGTTCAGGTGTTCTTGCTACTCGGCCCGAGTGTTCGCTTATTCTTCGCTCGATATCGGTTTTTAGCACAAGTCAAAGGAATTCTCGTGTGTAGCATCGGTGTTTACATACTCGTCATTATTTACTTGATCATAATATTTATTAGTTTGGGCTTGACCCTAAGCTTTGTCACAGGTGGTTATAATAAATAATTTATTACTTTGCAACCTTCTGCTAACCAATTACAATGATGTGTCTTACCTGGATTGAAGAGCACCTCCCGCCCTCCCTCAATTGCATGCACAAACTCAGTCACCACTAACTTCCAACACCACTATTCCAGGTAAGACACACCATCGACAAGTGTTTCGCCTCTAGACGAGGCATCTTCACGTAATGTAGACTCTACGGCGACTGACCGCTAAGTGAGCGGCGAGCCGAAACAGCTGCTATTTATACACGCCGACACAACCACTCCCCACCAAAGTAGCGAGTGACCGCGCCGCGAGATAACAAACCTGCCACTAATTATCATTATGTTATGATTAATATTTTTAAATACTATTATTATTATTGTTTTATTGATATCATTATAGTTATTTATTATTAGTAATCTTAAAATTATTATTAAAGATTAGCCTTAAAGATGTTTAACAGAGGTGAATTAGAAATATTTGTTTGTTCATTCAACAGTGCATAATTACCATTATTACTTTTTAAAATCTCCAACTGCTCCAGCACACACGGTCGCAGCCCCTTATTACAAGTATGTAAGGCTTCAAAGGAATGGTTGCTAGCTAGGTTGTGTCCAGTGTCCAAGAGATGTTTAGCAAAATGGGATTTATCGGGATTGCAATTTCTGTATGCGGCCAAATACTCTTTATAGCGCGTCCCGAAATTGCGACCAGTCTGACCCACGTAAACGGCGTGGCATTCGTCACAAACAAGTTTATAAACACCCGATTTTGACTAATATTTAACTTATCTTTATTATTACAAATATTCCTAAGCGATTTGTTTGTTTTGAATGCCACGTTAATGCCGTTTTTCCTAAGAGTATTAGCTATTTTTTCCGATATGGAGCCTAAGTAGGTCAAACTACCCACATATCGCCGGACATTTTGAGATCGAACCGCGTACAAAGAATTGCGAACAACATGCTTTTGTTTCTTTTTAATAAGATTATTATTGAGATTTTTTGAAAAACCGTTAGAGACTGCAATTTGATAAATTATATTAAGTTTTTTTAAATAATTTTCTTTACTTAATGGAACAGTGAACAGACGGTTGATGTAACAATAAAAAGCGGCTAATTTATGTTGCCACGGATGATACACATGACATGGTGTTGGTATGAGTTGGCTTTCGATAAATTTGAAAAACATGCAACGACTCTTTTCTTGTTATTGTTAAGTCAAGGAAATTAAGGGAGCAATCTTGTTCCAATTCAAGCTTAAATTTAATTTTTTCGTGGACTCTATTTTTAAGGAAAACATCCAGTTGTCTCCTTGTGCCAGTCCAGCAAATAATTATGTCGTCTACATATCGATATTAGTATAAAATATTTTGGTTAACAACTATATGTTGTTTTTCGAAATTATCCATGAAAATGTCCGCCATAAGTGGACTTAGAGAGGACCCCATAGCTAACCTTTCTTTTTGTAGATAGAAACTGTTATTAAACCGGAAATAATTTTGTTTCATACAGAGAGAGGTTAAGTTAAGAAGATCATTTATTTCCCCGGGATGTAGACGACGTTTTTCAAAGAGATCTGAGAGTATAGGCATACAGTCAGGGGATAGGACATTTGTGAAAAGACTATCAACGTCTACGTCTAAAGATAACAACATAGATTTAGGTGGAATACGAATATCTTTAATTTTGGAAATGAGATCTAAACTATTTTTAAGACTGTAAGTTGAGTTGAAACCAGATTTCCCCCGAAGGAGGAAGTTTAATTTTTTAGCAAGGAAATAAGCTGGTGAACCTATATATGAGACAACTGGACGAATAGGAACATGTCCTTTATGTATTTTAGGCAATCCATATAAAGTGGGTGCTTGAGGATTCATTGGAACAAGATTGCTCCGAGACAACTTGTGATCGGGGAAAAACATATGACGACTTTGTTATACATACTTTAATATCCGAAGTAAACTTTTTCGTTGGGTCAGACTCCAACAGCTCAAAGTCGTCACCTTGGATAACATCGTTAACCTTCTGGCTGTACCCGCTACTCTCCATAATGACAACAGTATTTCCCTTGTCAGCTTTAGTAACAATAAGGTTATTGTCTTTAATTCTCTGCTTTAGTGACATAAAAATGGGGAACTCAGGATTGCAATGGGAAGATGCAGATACATCCTGAATTTCTTTACCTAACAAACTTTTAACGATGTTATCTTTCCTCCCGATCACAACAGCCACCTCCGCGTCAACGGCCACGGTCTCTAACGATCTTTGGGAGGAAATTATACTTTAGACCTTTGTGTAAAAGGGACAACTCATCCGTTGGAATATATATACATATATGTATCATAAACACTCACGCCTATTCCCCAAATCAAAAGTGCAAAACTTGCCTGAAGAAGTTTTCACTTCAAAAATATCAAAGTATAGTGTTGTTTGCTATCTGGACAATGAACGCGTTATTTAGACCTCCATTCTCCATGAGTTCGTTTGCTATTGATAGTCAGGATGTGGAACTTTTAAAATGTATCGTTTAATAAATATATAACTCTAAGAATGATAACTTATGGCAAGCGAAGTATGTGGTTGCACTTTACTTTTACCTTTTAGCCCTTTCAGTGGTATTAATTTTAAAATGCATTGCTATTTGGTAGCATAAATAGGTATAGAGCTAGTATAATTACATTATGTGAAGAATTTCATTTTAGTCCCCAGAGTTAACAACGTACCTGTAGGCTTCTTTGTTTGAAGTTTGTTGCAAATGCTACCGTAAGCTGCAGTAGCCACTTACCAGCAGGTAAGTGGTAATAACTTAGGTACAGTATGTACCTAAGTTATTTTGCCAGTGAAGCTTTATAAAAAAATCTAGTATTTAAATGAGACGTGGTCCTTCACTGCTGGCCGTATGAGGACGCTCAAGGTCGCTCAGCGAGCCATGGAGAGGGCTATGCTCGGAGTTTCTCTGCGTGTTAGACTCAGAAATGAGGATATCCGCAGTAAAACCAGAGTGACCGACATAGCCCAACGGATTAGCAAGCTGAAGTGGCAATGGGCCGGCCATATAACTCGAAGAACCGATAACCGATGGGGATGAAAGGTTCTCGAGTGGCAGCCTCGTACCAGTAGGCGTAGTGTAGGGCGACCCTCCACTAGCTGGAGTGACGACCTGGTAAGATATGGAAGTCGATGGATGCAGGTGGCTCAGGACCGTGCTTTGTGGCATTACTTGGGGGAGGCCTATGTTCAGCAGTGGACTTGTGAAGGGATGTAATGATGATGATGAAATGAGAAGAACTTTACGTCAAATTTTATAATACAAGTTCATCGTCATCATTATCATTACAGCCCTTCACAAGTTCACTGATAAATATAGGCCTCCCCCAAGGAATGCCATAAAGCACTGTCCTGAGCCACGCGCATCCATTAACTTCCTGTATGTCTTACCAGTTCATTACTCCATCTAACAAGGGATCGCGCTACACTTCACTTACC